GCCTGGGCCAGTGAGCACTCGTCCAAAGCCGCTGCGACGGGCTGTATAGAACACGGGACTCGCTTGTTTGCTTAGACGAGCGTCTCAGTGTGGTCTTAGGAGACCGATGATAACCGGATGAGACTCTAGGCTGTATTCGACTATGATGAGTACCAGAAAGTTCATTCGATGATACTTTGTTATTACTGCAAGTGCAGTCTTCGCGTCGCCTCTTCATGTGATGCTACGTGACGCGACGTGACGCGTGCACGAGTCAGTGTGAGCATTGTTTATCGCGGCACAGCAACCCTCAAGTTGTCTCCAACGTATGAGGAGCAAGGATGTTCGGTCTCAATATCCGCTGATGACGAAGGGTAACCTAGTAGATATTCGGCTGCTCCCGGGTCTTAGATAGATTATGTGGTGTGTGCGTTATTCTCCGAAAGTCCCAGCTTACGGGAGGGGCGATAGTCGCGTAGTAAACAGCATAAGCATGGAGGTGGAAGAGAAGAAACAACATGAACATGTATAATTAAGATGCGCCTAAACATGGCCAAAGCAAATGCTGATCGGTTCTTTTGGGGATATGCATGAGCAAACATGAGTCAAGACAAGCCTGTGCATGAGGACCTGCAGCTGAACGGGCGTACATGTTCAAGCAGACAGTCGCGCAACGCAGCCGCAGAAGTAGACGATAGGCGGAAGGTTTGACGCTGGCAAATGAACAGAAGGCGAGGAAACGCGGGATGTCCAGAAGAGGCGTTTCTTGTTGGTATAAAAAAGAGGATATGCGAGGGGTTAAAGTTCACGGGGGGCTCAACTGAGACTAGCTCGTGGCCCCTGCCGCTGCAAACCACGGCATCGCGTATCCCTGAGGAGGTTCAATTCGCCTCGGGCGCCCGCTGCCCGATGTGCAATTAAACACAGGCGTCCCATCTCTTCGGCGAGTTTTTTGTCTTTCTGGTATCTTTCTGGATATCTGGACGCTCTCGACGTCTTTGCAGTTTTCAAGTCTCGTTTTGCTACTGACAGGCACCGGCTGAAGTTGGACGCGCATGGTTACCGGGCCCGGGGACTCTGCATGCCAATCATGCACTGATCATCAACTCTGCAGCATTCCAGACACAGTGACATAGACGGCATACCAATCTGGAATACGGCCTGCTCTCGTGCAGCACGCGGCGGAAATGGATTCCCAGCAACCCGTTCGCTCTTCCCCCACCGACAACGGTGCAGCAGCCACTGGAGCCCCGGCGAAGTCGCGACGGCGCGATTCTCTCCCATCGTCTGTCAAAACAACGGATGCCCGACCAAGCAAGCGCACGCCTAATTATATACGCACCACGGCCGCATCGCCCCAGGTTATCTCGTCCCTGATCGACCAGCTGTCCGCCATATCCATCCCAGCGCATAACCATTTCGAGAACCTCCTCGTCGGCTACGACAACGGCCTGTCTGCATCCGCTGCGCCCAGCGTACGCACCCACTCGGAGAAGAACTCGATCGCAGGACACGATGGAGTTTCGGTGGACCATGGCAACTACCACAACTCAATAAGAGACCAGAACGACGTCTACCCCGACGACGCATGCGAGCCGCCTGTCATCCGAACCTCGAAGCCGCCATCCGGCCTCTCCCCCCTTACCGCGCCCAAGAAACCAAGCAAAGCGCATTCGCTCAGCAGCTACATCGGACGAAGCGGCGGCAGCTCGTGCTCTCTGCAGTCTACCCATTCCAACCGGTCAGGGAGCAGTTTCGGCAACATCAGCGTTGAGGCAGGTGTGCCGCGCCCGTCAGTCGGCAGTGCGAGGTCGTCGGTAGAGAGCAAGAGAAGCGCAAAGGGGCACAAGAGCTTGATGTACATGAGCTCACGCGAGCGACTACGACAAAAGGAGACCGAACGCAAGCGCGTGACTGTACACAACCTCGACGATATCCCCACTGGCTCCCCTTCCAAGAAGATCGCCCACCAACTCTTCCCTTACGAAGACACCATCAGCGAAGAGCCCTCCTCTGCCAAGGACGAACAACGCTCACTCGAGACAGTGGCTGAGTCGTCGAGATTCGCCCAGCGGCATCCCAGCAGGAACAACAGTCCACGCCGACTGCGCCTGAACCTAGTCGATGCCCATCATCTCGAAAGCCCCTCAGACAGCGGACTAATCCCCGAGCGCGGGTCATCCTTGAAGCACACAGGCAGCCCCGCGCGCAAGAGCAAGAAGCGCCGACCGGGGGACAAGAGCCGTCCAAAGTCTCGCAAGACCGACATGGTCCCAGAAGAGGAGGAAAAGATGGACCCCGAAGCACAGAGGAAGAAGAAGATCTTGGAAGAACTGGAACAGGAGGAGAATGAGGTCGCTCAAAGAATCCGAGAACTCAGAGACCAGAAACTGCGAAGAGATAAATTAGCCGGAAAGATGCCTGTTGATGCACACGCAGGGGCGACACCACCCAGCGTGCCTCGCGTTTCATCCATTCCTAGTCCCGAGTCGTCGCCCATCTCGTCTGTTTCAAGCGTGTCAGAGGACGAAAGGAGGGTGCAGAACTCGACAAAGGCGCATAGAGTGCTTGGGATATCGCAGGAAACCGCCCTAGCGGCCGAGAAGCTAACGGAAAGGCCGATGGATAAGCCGGCTGAAAAAGCAGAAGGTGATAAGTCTAACCTCTCGGTACCACTACAACCACGCAATCTGCGCCACTCGCGGCACCGCAGTCTGACACTGAATGACGGTGATGAACTTACCCCACTTCCGATCGATTATACGCTTGCGCTCCAAAGTCTGGACGAGTCTGCGCCGACGCCGACCATACTAGACCCACGGTTGTCAAGATCGCCCGGTGCAGCAAGCATCATCTCAAAGGCAACCAAGTCAAGTAGCGAATCTTCTGTTCCCCAACGAGCAAACTCACTACTGTGCGTCGGCGGGAGATCTGCGCTCGGGCGTCGAGCGGCGACTAGTTCGATCATCATGGGCCAGTCCTCAAAACACAGACACTCCTCCAGTGTAACCGAGGATTCACCCAACAGACTGGCACCACCCTCTCGAGCGGCCAGTGAAGAGCCTATTACTCGACACCGTTCAATGCATGTTATTTCTCCTCCGCCAGAGTCTCACAGTATGCAACTACAACGTAAGCGCACAAGTAGCAGCAAGAGGTGGTCGCACCCCGATCTGCCAGCAAAGGCAGAGAAAGAGCACAATGACAGAGTCGATCGGAATGAGCAAAAGTCCAGAGCGGCCGCAGTACAAAGTCCACCACACCCGATCATCGAGGAGCGACCTGCAAGTCTAGATTCCATCGACCTGGACGTGCACCAATACCTAGAATCATCACGTCTCTCACAGAAGATCCGGCATCCACAAACTGGGAGACTCATTTCATTCTCAGAAGTCGGTGACCCCAACGGCTTCGCTGTCTTTGTCTGTGTAGGCATGGGATTGACTAGATATGTGATGGCATTTTACGATCAGCTCGCTGCGACTTTGAAGCTGCGTTTGATTACGCCAGATCGCCCTGGTATTGGAGGCAGTCAATCCGACCCGACCGGGACGCCTCTCAGCTGGCCTGGTATGAGAAGTGCCCATCATTGCAATAGAGATTCTCGGCTAACATGTATTAGATGATGTACTCGTGATATGCCAATCTTTGAAAATTAACAAGTTTTCCATGCTCGCGCACTCTGCCGGCGCCGTCTACGCATTAGCAACATCTTTACGAATGCCACAGCATATCCGCGGTCGCGTACACCTCCTTGCGCCTTGGATACCGCCATCGCAAATGGCACCCATTGGCATCAGCCAGGACTCACCACCTACCCAGCAACTTCCGCGATCGCAACGATTCCTCCGCGCTTTGCCCCCGTCCTTACTCAAGGTTGCAAACTCCACCTTCCTCAGCGCAACAAGCGCCAGCCTTCAGCGTACCGGACCCAAAACGTCACCCAAGACTAGACGGAAGAGCATGGCCCCGTCGCCAGTGCCGCCACAGCAATCAGCAACCCGCCCATCTCTGAAGGATACTCACCGACATTCGATGATGATGATGGATCAAGTCTTGCCGAATGCAAGCACACTGACCTTGTCGAGCCCAGACGCCAGTAACGAAGAATCACAACGCATGCAGGAAATGCTCAGTATGGCCGAGGTCGAACGCCAACGCGCTTTTGACGAACGGCTTACTTTCGCCATCTGGGACCGCGCAACGGCAAACGCAAACCCTGCAACTGACCTGATCGTCTGTCTTGAGACTAAGCAAACCATTGGATTCCGATACGAAGACATCAATAGACCTGTTGTCATCCACCACGGATCCAAAGACTCGCGTGTACCAGTCGACAACGTCCGATGGCTTGGCAAGCTGATGCGCAAGTGCGAAGTGCGGATTCTAGAGGGCGAGCAACATGGACTCATGGCCAGTGCACAGGTCATGGGCAACGTGCTCACAGAGATGGCTTCTGATTGGGAAGACTGGACGAACCTTGCTCAGGGAACAGGCGAACAGCGCTCTGTTTCGAGGAGGAGAACTACTGAGAAGTTGAGAAGCCAAATGAGCTTCACCGGCTGAGCCCAAACGCAACACGATAAGCGCTGGAGCCTCTTGACCCAGATGACAATTGTTATTGGATAATGTGCGACGGTCTGGATCTTTTTGAAAGCAAGCGGTTGTGTTCTTCATTTTGTTTTGGCCATGGCACGACCTGAAATACCCCATACTAATTACTCAGTTGTTTTGTACATTGTTTAATCGCTTGTTTACTTTCTCTGCTTTATTTTATTTTGGTTTCTTTGGATACCCATTAGGTCTGGAGCGTTTTGGCACGGATTGGATGCATTTGGCTGGATGTTTGACGTAGATAGGAGGGGAATACTAGATGACAAGGAATTCTTGTGATATAAGCGGCTCTAATGAAATCGTTTTACATCGCCCGCCGAACATCTCGCAGGCTGCCCTTTTACAACACTTCGATGATGAGAAGCAGGTTGATGAGACAGCGACTGATATCATCCTTTGAAACCACTTTAACCAACAGTGTACGCCTCCACCCCTTTACCAAAGAGCAAATGTGGCTTCCTTTGCGCCAAATCCAACACGGTCTGCGCAAAGACCGAATTCGCCCATGCAAACCAACTGCGTGTATACGACTTCCCAGACTGCACATTTACACTCTCATGCACCAGACCCAAGCTACTCACATTCTTGACCGCAGCAAGGCATGTCATGATCTCTTCGTCATCGTCTGAGGTCATGGCTTGCACAAGGACAGCCATAGGCCAAGCATTTCGTACACCAACGTGAGGGCCGCCAATACCCGCAAAGTCGGAACCGGTGAGGTAATATGGGTTGCCGTTCTTTTCGAGTATCATCTTACGGGTGTTTTTGTAGATTTTATTGTCTGCATCCGTGAAGCCGAGGAGAGGTAGAGCGAGTAGAGAGGGCAGGTTGGCATCGTCCATCAAGATGGAAGACCCGTAGCCGTCGACTTCAAAGGCAAAAACCTCGCCATACTTCTTGTGCGTCACGACGCCGTGTTCCCATACACCTTTCTGGATTCTCTCGCCCCAAGTCTGCACTTCTGCTGCAATGTGTTTCTTTCCTGCTTTCTTGAGAATGGCAGCTGTGCGCAGTAGTTCCACGGCGATCATGGCATTGGCGGGAATGAAGAAGCCAAGGATTGTGGCATCGTCGCTGGGACGAAAAGCAGAGCGGACGAGCCCTGTACCGCCATTGAGTGGGTTGCCGAGACCGCTTAAGCTGAGTGTTTCGGTACCGATGTTGGTTTGGCGCTGCCATGTATATTCGTTGCCTTGGTATGCGCCTGTCTCCTCGTTGAAGGTAGGCTTCGACTGCTGCTGGAGCACGTTGAGCAAAGTGTCAAGAGCGAGCAGCCAGCGGCCGTTGATGAATTCTGTGGAGTCGGTGTGGTTGTGGAATTGATTGGACAAGGAGAGGAAATGCGCAAGCGAATCGAGTTCGTACTTGCATTCGAAGACGAACGACTGTTCGTAGTTTGGATGTACGTTGTCGCCATCGCCTTGGAAGGTCGGTTTCAGCCCACTCGGCGGAGGGGGCTGGAAGGCATTGCAGTAGGGTGAGCCAATGACGTACTCTGCCTGTGTATTGATGGCTCCCAAAATGAGCTGGTGTATGTCCTTGTCTTTCTTGGCCAGCAGCTGATACTGCGCTAGTTGGTTTGTAGAGTCGCGCAACCACTCGGCGTTGATATCTCCTGTGACAATGAAGCTTTGCGCACCCTTCCACGCTGCTGGGTCCCAGCTTCGTCTCGAGGACTTGTGCTTAACAGTCCCGTCAACGTGCCAGCGTACCGTTGTGTCCAATGTGTTGGGGAAGGCATTTTCGAACAGACGAGCAAGGTCCTTGTCGACTATCTTTTCATTCATGTCATCGATGACCTTCTCGACGAGAGGCGATTCGAAGGTTCGGCAGTACTTGGATGGCCGTTGGAAGGGTAGTTCCATGGGACCTGCGCTATACGGTGGGCTGTCGCATGAATTAGCGTGTGTCGTCTCTTATATATGGGGTTCACGTACTGTGGTCGCATCGCATAGTTCTTGTAGTCGGGACATGCTGCCTTGTACTTGAGCGGGTCGATGGGGGGTCTTAGAGGCTCTTGCTCTCCAACATTATTCAGTCCAGCGAAGGCCGATGGCAAGGTAAACAGAGCCCCCAAGGACAAGGATGCTAGTGGAGACTTCATGGTCTATCGAAAGAGTCTGAGTGTCACGCCGAGCTCTTGCGAATCCGACAAAGCCCAGATGTGTAATCGTTGTCGGGAATCGCGGAAGACTAATGTAGATGTGGCGCAAATGGAAAGGCTCTCAGCCGGGAATGTTGCACATGACTTGGCACGACTCGAGCTCCGTGTCGTGGAAAGATAGATGAAAGGACGTCGAGGTTCAATTGCAGTTTAGATTGGCGACTCTGGGACTGATAGCGTGGCATGCATGGGGAAAGCATCCCCCAGCACCTCCGCCAATAAGCTCGTGTTAAGTCCGCAGGGCCCGAGCTCCAGCTCCAGCACGCTTCCTCGATGTGATGGCGCTGCGACTGCGGCGCGACTTCTCCACTCGAAAACTATCAACTGACTTGCCTCACTGACTTTTATAATTCTAGGTACGCGATACACCATCACGTTGAAGTCGCGCGAGTCGACGGAACCCAAGTCTGCCTAAAATACAGGATTCACACCTTCTGTCGCGTTCGAGTAACACCGCGTCAGCTTTCTCTACATTGCCGTATCCAACATGATCTCTCTGCCAGGCCTCAACCTTTCCTCGCAGCCTGCCGAGACGCAAAATGGCCCTACTTCGACGGCCACACGAACGCAGGAGCTCGCCGCCAACACCGAATACCGCTTCGAAGTATCCTTCTCCCGAACACTCACGGTCAAGTTGCAGTCGGGCACTGCAGAGTTCTTTGGTACCGAGCTGGCACCCTCCACCACATACACCTTCCAGGGCACAAAGGGCGCCATCTTCACATGGCACGGCTGCAAGCTCGACATCGGCGGAGAGGTTGAGTCGGACTATATCGCTGAAGAGACACCCATGATGAGTTGTGCAAACCTACATTTCGCCCTAGAAAACTTGCGCGACAGGAGCATCGCCAGCGGCAGTGTCGAGATGGGCCCAAGAGTGCTTGTCGTAGGGCCGGAGAACTCGGGCAAGACATCACTCGTCAAAACCCTCACGTCCTATGCTGTCAAGACTAGCAGGCAGCCAATGGTCATAAACCTGGATCCGCGCCAGGGTATGCTCAGTGTGCCCGGTTCCTTCTCAGCAGCTGTATACTCGTCCATCGTAGACATTGAAGAAGGCTGGGGAAGCAGTCCAATCTCGGGGCCCAGCCCTATTCCGGTGAAGATGCCGCTGGTATATCACTACGGTCTTAAAGACCCGGAGGAGGGCAAGGTGTTCAAGCCGTTGGTAACGCGCATGGCACTTGCTGTCACAAGTAGATTGGAGGAAGACAAGCTCAGCAAGCAGGCTGGCTTCATCATTGATAGCTCAGGCGCCATCAGCCAAGGGAGGAATGGCGTCTACGACAACATAGAACATATTGTTTCTGAGTTCTCTAGTACGTGTGATGTCTTGAATATTACTTCTGCCTTCTCCCCTCCAGCATTGCCCATGCCTACAAGTACACAGATTCCGGAATCCAACGTCCTAGAAGATAGGCAATCAGTTGTATGTACCAGCACAGGAAGATCATGCGACTAACACCACTCCAGTCAACGTCCTCATAACCCTCGGCTCCGAACGCCTCTACTCCGACCTCTCCCGAAAGTTCTCAGCCCGAACCGGCAGCGATCCTTCCGAGACCGTCTTCGTAATCCGTCTCGACAAGTCCGGCGGTTGTGTAGATCGAAGTGAAGAATACATGGAAGCACTCCGCCACGCCCAAATCAAAGAGTACTTCTTCGGCAAAGGCGACGAGACACTTGCCCCTAGTAGCCAAATGGCCGATGCTGCCGACCTCAACATCTTCCGCGTCATCGAAGGAGACGTGAACGGTGGGGTTGACGAATACGGCATGACTGTCGAGCGACAAATCTTCGAAAAGGTTACACCGTCCGAGGCAATGCAAAATCAACTACTGGCCATCACTACAGCTAGTCCCAATGATCCACAGGCTGTCATCCGTGACAGCAGTATCAGGGGATATATCTATGTCGCGGACGTGGATGAGGCGAAAAAGAAGGTCAAGCTCCTCAGCCCACTACCAGGAGCGACACCAGGGAACGCCATGATCTTAGGCAAATGGCCAGAAACTGTCGAGGGTCTAGTTAACTAGACGTTTCTAACATGGATTGGACAGTATGAAAAAGAAGCAGTGAGGATATTGAAGGAGGATACATTGGCACTGAAGGCGTTCAAGAGGATCGGAATAGTAGTGGAGGTAGGAGGCTACAACATAAGGTTCAAGTTGTGAAAATCTTTGAAGAGATCTGTGCAGAAGGCAAGCTTATCTACCCTTTCTAAATGTGTCTCTGTAGTACTACGAATGATGTCCTCTCTTACATTGCGTCCGACTTTTGTAACGACCTTGAAGGTACGTACCCTGAACACTAAAACTCTACCCTAGATATATACATTGTCGCTTGTCTACTGGATCTGTTACTTGGACTCATGCGCATAGCTTCATGCCATATAACAAGTAGATTGGTACAATATGTGAAACCGAGCTTCTTCGTGCTACTCCGCCGTATTATGTGCGTAAATACACGTCTAATCGGATTGACTGGTAGAAACTTGACGTCTATACTGAATTAGCTGGTCACCGTCTGGCAGCAGGTCCTTCTACTTCTACCTCTTAGGTTCTCTCAATCGTTGTTTGGTCACGGAAACCCTAATTCTGCCACCCCATTCCACTCCATATTGTCATCTCCTTTCGTCTATCTACCACCGCTTTCCACGTTCAGTTCGCGGCAATATCCTAGAAGTGTCCTCCAATAGACGTGCGATGAATACGGCTCACAGAGTTTGGACCAGACGTATCAGCAGACCAAATCTAAACCGATACGATGGGAGCCCATAATCTTATCATATGGGTGTGTGTATTTTTGCGAGCGTTCGAATACTGGGTTCATAAGTGTAGGTAGCTCTTGCAAAGACGCCATGAGTATCTAGAGATACTCGAACCTTATGTCGAACCCTGGTGTGGCGACTATTTTTCGCTTTCTAGGCTACGCTTGACATGTGTCAAGTTCCAACCTTCCCACTACATCTCGTCATCGCGTTCTTGCATCTCCTCCCTTTCAGCTACCTCAGCCATTCGTTCTCTCACGCTTTCGTCCCTATCCCAAACTTTCCATCCCATGTGTGGTTTAAGAGCGTTAGCCCCTGGTCTTGGTGGCGAAGTTACAAACGGACGCTCGGCGGTTCCATCGCCATACAAAAAGTCGTCCACCTCCTCATTGACAAGCTGTGAGTATTGACGAGACAGGGGTGCCAGAACTGTAAAGCTTGGTTTGCTAACATTGACTTCGCCGTGGTAATAATCTCGTAGTTGCTTAAAGAGCCACGGCCAATTACATCCTGGACGCATCCGCTGAAAACAATCATGTAATGTGACGTTTTGTAAGTTTGGCGACGTGGTAAACATGTCTCTGAGGTCCTCCTCTGACAGCTTCACATTCCGCAGGGTGAGACACCGCAAGCGCGATCTCATGGCCTCAGGGATGGGATTGAATCGTAGAAAGAAGCGCCAAGACCGGCCTGATCTACTATCGTTGAAGCCAAGATCAAGATATTCGAGGTACTGTAGTTCTACCAGTAGAGACTTGAGATTGTTCAAGCCTTCTGGACTCATAAGATAGTCATTTGGAGGAGTGAAAATCATTTTTAGGCGCTTCAAGCGTGTCCGCTGGAACATTTGTTTCGTAAGTCGGTAATTCTGTGAAGTTTCGGTGAGGAAGCAGTGGTAATAGGACCTTGCTTGGTGTTCAGATTCGACTATGAACTCTTCGATGTGCGGATCTGGCATGGCGAGTATAGCAGACACCACAACGCCGTAGTTCCTGTGTTCCGCTGGCAAGGGCTTTGCGTTCTTGGGCGGGTTGGCAGCACTAGGGTGCCACTGAGCAAACATATCCTCTGACTCCTGGTCGGACCGAAGCCATGGCCAGACAGCTGGTTTGCGGAAACCTAGAGGTAACGAACGATGATAGGGGGTATTGTATCGAGGCACGACATTACATGCGGGCCAAGTGTCAGTCGTTAGCGTTATTCTTCTCACATTTGGAAAGCCATTCAGGGCTTGATGCAGTGCCATCGCATCGATTTGCTGTTCCACAAGCTCTTGTTCCTGGCGATACAGTTCCTGATATAACGCGTAGCTGTCTTCAATGCTCATCATTGTGGCATTCCTAGCAAGAACATCTCTTGAGAACTGATCATCGTATCGCAGAAGGATTTCCTTCGCAGCCTCAGTCAATCGACCATCCTGAAGTAAGTCTTCCATTTCCAATGGTCGGTAATCGGGATCACTATCACCATAGATCTCCATGGCTTCCTCAAGTCGACGTTCAATGGCTCTGGTAGTCTCTCTTTCGTCGGCGATGATTGCGGCACGGAATCCCTCCAACGTCGAATACTCTTTGAGCAAAGCATCGTCCCAAACAATCTCGCGCACACGGCCAGGGTATGTAGGATGGGCCAGAATCTGATGTAGATAGTCCAGATTAGCTCGATTAGGCGAGACGTAGATGCGATCTATGCGTAGATACACGCTGGATGCGAAGTGCTTGCTCACGAGCCGCAATCGCTTGATGTCGAGCTTAGAGATATGTTCGCATACGATTTCGAGTAGCTCTGCCGGCAAGTCTGTGATGGTCTTCTTGTTCCGAGCCCCGCTCCCAAAAGCTTCGGGAAACTCATCGCCAAACAACCCCTCCATGAAGCTCATCGAGGGCACATTGCTGGCACTCACGGCTGACACAGTCGAAACCCTGCGCTTTGTAACGCCAGCGCGGATGGATAAGCTAGGCTTGCGGCGTCGGGTCTTGGCAGGTGCAGGTCGTATCTGGAGGTTTGCGAACATCGCATTGATGTCTTTCTAGCTTGATAGATGGCTATCACAAGATGGCATATGCAGGCGGATCTTGATGTTTTTGGCCCGTTGTGACGCTGGGTAAGGTTGGTGTGGTCTTCTCCTAGGTTGTGCGCATGAAACTTGAATCTGTACCAAGTATGCAGAGGTTTGAAATTGTATACAGAAATGCACATGCGATGTACAAGGAAGAGAAACGGGTTTTAATGATGCTCAAAGTACGGTGTCGGAAGACAAAGGTTTATGCTAAGGGTAGTGAAACGCCAGCGCTTGCAGCGCTACCAATGCAAGGCTACCTGCTCTCCGATTCGAGTGCAGCGGAGCGGGCACTATAGACAACTTTGCGCGTTGCGCGTGCTGTCTTTACAGAAGCGACAACCATTTGAACCACTTCATGAGCCAGGCGCGGTTTATGGGCCATGGAGGAAGTCATTTCAATCCGCGGGAACCCGCAACGTGCCTTCGCTTACAGGCAGCGTGGTGGAGAGCTGCCCGTAGTGGGGTGGGTCCCCAGCCAACGTCAGAAGCTTCACATCAACACCATAGCAAGATTCAAGAGGATCATTCACGATAGTCAGGTCTTCTCATTATGTCAGGTGCTTTTCAGCAACCCGAAAGAGTGCCCGAGAGCATACATGAGCAGATACTGCCTTTCCAGCGAGCATCCCGCGAACGGTTCCACGACGCATATCCACCACTCGATAGCCACAGCAAGTACACCGTCTGCCAATGCAGGCATACAGTATACCAGCCACGCCATCACAGCAGACGCGCTCGCTCTTCCCATATCGATATGAAGATTGACCAGCACCCGAGTGCATATCCATACCCCGCACATACCGTTGCCGAAGCACAGAAGTATGACTGAGGCTGTGTGTAGAAGTCGAAGTCAGGGAAGGGGGCGAGTCGTTCATTTAGGAACCCTCCTCTCCCTCGGCCTTGTTCTTCTTCTTCTTCTTGCTTGAGCCGAAATCGTTCTTTACCGTCGGGACGGCCGACTGGTGGACGATAAAGCGGGTATAGCACTCTTCTGGGTCCCACTCGAAGCCCATGAGGTACGGCTTTTCGAACTCGTCATCTGCCTACAGGAGAGGGTCAGCTATGCTTCGACACACGGTAACCCTAGATGGTGCGGGGTATGAGAGGATCGGCAACGATGCTCGATGGTAAGATACAATGGATGGGGATACTTACGCGCTTCTTGAACTGCTTGTGGATGGCATCTAGTGCATCCTTGATGGTGACACCTTTCATGTTCCGTGCGGTGACTTCTAGGCCTAGCGGGAAGTGCAGGGCGATGGACTTGAGCTTGGGCTCGGTGAGTGGCATTTTCAAGACTGATGGGTCTTCGACAGTGGATGGTGACTTGTTCAGCTTCCTAGAGGTATTGTGTTAGTACGATGCAAGGTATCAGGGCTGACCGGGGCCATCCGGATGACGATGAGCCGCTGGACGTTGTTGTCGGATGGTTCGCATTAACGAAACAGGAAGATTCACTTACCAATTCAGCTTCTGGGTTTCGATTGCGATCTCAATCTTCTTGCCTTCCTTTTCTGTGCTTCTGTCAGCTCGCCTGCCCCTCACGCACGACCCCTCATCTGGGCCATTGTCACAGGAGCACTCACCTAGATCCTCGATCCGGTAGACATCAGCAGCCATGGAGCTGACTCTGCGGTGGCCCTTCTTAGCGGCGCCATCTTGGTGGTCAGTCAAAGAGTCGACCTTCTGAAGCGTGTTTTCTGTCTCTGCGGCCATTGTGGTGATATGCAGTTGCAGCTGAGCTACTGGGAGATTGGGAAGAGTTGTAGATGATGAAAGAGCTTGGGAAGCTGTATGGGAATTGCTTAGAGCTATGGATAAGGGGTGAGAGTCTGAAGCACAGTGGAGGCTGTGAGGAAGAGCAAGAAGGGAGGGAGGGCGCAGCTTATGAGGGGCTCAGTCTGTCGCCGGCAGGCACAGGAGACGGTCACTTGATCGATCACCACATTGTGGTCCAATCGAACCGGCGTGAGACGTGAATGGTCGAGCCAATGCGGGGAAGGGGAGCATCGCCCAGAATGCGGGGAAGGAACAAACGCCAACGGACGAAGCGTGCGTGTACACCAGGTAGCATTGGCTCACAGCACAAGATATACTTTGAAAGCTAGCAATTGAGCCTCCTTCTTCGCACTTCGCCTACTCCAGCTATCTGCTTTCGTTGTGCGGCTGTTCCGGAAGATCAGGTACGGTGGTGAGATAGATCGCGTGACCGACGTCATTGCGCTCGGCGACATTGACAAAGCGCGCATCGACGCGTATCATCTCAGCTTCGGGCCCTAACGCGGACCGAGTGTATCAGAGGTCCACTTGATTACTGCAAGGGCTCATGGTCCACGCGGAGGTACATGTCAACATCCGACTGGACTATCCGCCCCTCGCAAGACCATGTGAGGCTGCGTACATGAGGCGCATGCAGCCGAATATTCAACTCTAAAATGAGTCAACTTGAAAAAGCAACATGGAAGGTCGAAATAGCTCAACATCTCGTGTAATAGTGCGCATCATTGTCTTGCTAGTCACTTGCGTGTACTCGTTCAGAGCTCATCGCGTGACTTCTCTATGAATGTCCAACAATCCTAACGGGCTCGTAAAGCTCTTCGAGGTACTTCTCCTCTTCCTCAGTCAACTCCTTGCCCCTTGCTGCAAGTGCCTCATCCATCCTGTCTACACTGGAGAAACCGATGATGGGACTCGCAACACGCTTGTTGATCCATGCTAGCGCAACATGGCTCATCTTCCAGTCATGCTTCTTTGCAATCTCTTCGACACGGCCGATGATCTTCTTGTCACGCTCGTTGTTACCAGAGGTCTGATTGCCAGCCTTCTGTTCCCCTTCTGAACGAGTGGTCGAGCCGAATGCCGAGGGAGGGCGAGCGAGATGGCCACGGCATAGTGGTGCCCACTATCGGCTGTTAGTGAAGGAATGACTTGATGCTCGAAAATGGTAGCATACCGGAATAAGACCAACGCCAGTGTCATTGCAGAATCGATTCATCTCACGCTCTTCCTCGCGATATAGCAGGTTGTAATGGTTCTGCATGCTGATGAATTTGGTCCAACCATTCTTCTCAGCAGTAAACTGCATTTGCGCAAACTGGACTGCCCACATGGAGCTGGCACCTATGTACCTGACTTTTCCACTCTTGACCAGATCGTGCAGTGCCTCCATGGTTTCCTCGAGAGGTGTATTTGGATCGTAGCGATGGATTTGTAGAAGATCGATATACTCCAGATCGAGACGCTTGAGCGATGCATTGACGGCGTTGAAGATTGCTTGCCGTGACAGACCACCTTGATTCACGTAGTCTTTCAACTGAGGCAGCTCCGTGCCATACTGGATCGTACGTAGACCTGGATCTTCGCCAACGTAACCAAAGCACTTCGTGAGGATGACGAGCTTCTCACGAGGCAAGTCGTACTTCTTGATTGCTTTGCCAACGAGCTCTTCGGAGACGCCATTGGAATAGACATTGGCTTTGCAAGATATCAGTGAACTACGGCAACCGAGCGGACAGCCTATCGGACATACCGGTATCCCAAGTCGTAAGACCGCGATCGTACGCAGCTTTCAGTAGCGGTAGCGACTCTTCTTCTTCAATGACCCAGGGCTGCCATTTAGAGGAACCAATGCTCATGGCACCCAGGATAGGTACTGAGACCTTCAGGCCACTCTTTCCTAGGCGTTTGTATTCAGCCTTGGACTCCTGGAGGAGACCCTGCACATCGAGCTTATCCGGCATGATCGCAAATCAGTGGATCGCTTGCGGATTGGTGTTTAGTGGGGTACTTGGGTTTCGCAAGGCTGTGGTGGGGCGAGCAACAGAGAGGCGTGAATGAACCACCACATTGTAAGGCGGCACGCACTTCATATACTCTGCAACGACGGCATTTTCTCCGTGTCTGCACCACATACTTCCCAATCGAGTACATAGCCGTCAAGGTCGGGCTTTGCGGCGATAGCTTCATCATTATCCCGGTGGTAGATACTGCAACGAGCCACGATGCGGGGTTCAGGCACGACGAGCCGCCGTGTACGTCATGTGTAAATATCACATCCGCGGACTATCCAGCTGCCGAAAGAAGGATGTGCTTGTCGGTACGTGTATATCAAAGGGTGGTTACAACGGTCATCACACCCATCCCGAGTTCAAAATGTGGGGCATGTTGTTTGCACAGGCAAAGCACTAGAAAGAGGCTAGGGGTTCTGAGATGAGCATTCAGCACAGATTTGATTCGTCACCAAGTGCATGATAAGCCAAAGCTCGCCGTGGTGTTGAAGTTCAGATCGTTCATGTCTCTTGGCAAGTACTGATCTTATTGACTTCTCATCACCTCACACTTCATCGTGAATGTGCCGGCGCGATTCCATCAAGTCATGGTGGTATTGTTTGAACATCGTTTTTGATCTTAGACCCCCAGGCGCCAACCGCATATGATGCAGAGAAGTTCATAGATGCTCATTGCCCGTAAAGAAACCCGTACTCCCCAGAACCGTTTACGCGTCCTCGACGATGTTGCCGCGCTCCGACACGTACAGACCGTCCAAGAACTTTCGGATATCCTTGTTGCGGACCTTGCAGATTTGCTGAATGTCGGCGGCACCTTGGGAGACGTCCTCGAGCGACTGGATGATGTTAGCATTGGTTGAATTGGTTGTTGCACCGCAGTTCTTACGTTTCCGGACAGCTCGAGCTGATCCTTCTGGTTCTTCGACGCCTCAACCTCAACACCGGGCCTCATGACAACCCTTCGTACGAGCTTCTCGCCGATGAAGTTTCGGATCTCCACCTCCCAGCAGTCGGTCTCCTTGTTCTTCTCCAGGTTGACGTTGATGGGGAAACTGGGTGTGATGTTAGTCATATCCAGCAATGTGCGCTTGACGCTCAGCATAAGCATATCCATCCTAGTGCTCCCAGCATCTCAACCAGGAGTCCTGCGTTGATTTGTTGGGGAGCCTGGAGAGCAGCGTCGGATGGGATATGCTCTGCGACGGGTTCGGGAGGGATGTGCGGCTGGTGTAACATACTGGGCATATACGTAGCGCATCTTGTACTTGTATCCCTTGGTGACACCGATGATCAAGTTGTTCTATTCCCAGTCAGCCCAGTCCTCCCATGTTTACCAGTGTGGGAATTCGAGGATGCGCGCGACGTACAATCAGGGTGCGGACAGTTCGGAGAGTAGCGACGCTCTTGCGGGAGCCGTGGTGGAGCTCGATCTTGATGACATTCTTCTTGGGGTGCGTGAAGCTGACCGCCAAGTGGCCGAGAGACTTTGTGAGCTTGCCCTGTAGAGTGTAAGAATCGGTTCGAGGTGGTCGAGGCTATCGCGATTGGCTTACTCGGGGACCTGTTGGAGATGTCAGTGTTGGATTCCTTATGCGTCTTCTATCGTGCGCACTCACCCTCAACAAGAACGTTCCTGTTCTTGATGGCGACCTTGACGCCCTCGGGGATGGCGAGCTCTTCCTCAGAGTGGCTGTTTCGCACTTGTCAGCAAAAGTCCTGGATTCTGATGTTTGCTCGTGGTGGAATCTGCTATCGAGGCGCCCATTGACCGGTCGGAAGCGGGAAAATCGTGCGATGCGGCGGTTTGACAGTCGTGTGCTCGGGGATAAACGTACATGTACTTCATCTTGACGGTTGCTGCGGGTTAGCGGTGTTGTCGAGAAGCTGAGGTCGAATTGTTCGAAATTGTGTGGGAGGCAGCGGAACAAAACGATAGCCGAGCCACCGGTCTAGCCCGCTTTTGTGCGCGCTAGCGCCGCCGTCTTCCTCGTCATGGCAAGAACACCAACTTCATGCATTCCGAGGAGCTGCGACTTTAGCCATCGTAGTTTCCAGTGAGACTTGCAAGACTTGGAAATAATTCGTCGCGACAAGTCTACGGCCAGCATGGCACACGGAGACACACACATCGCCCAAACCCTGCTGCACCGCGCCTTCTCCCCTTCGACCGCAGAATCGCATTATCACGAGCGCGTGCTGAAGCGGCCCCTTCACATTCGCGCAACCTCGCCTACACCCTCTGCACGCGCGGTCCGCCGTCGCGCCCTTAACGAGATCAAACAGACTGCTCGGAAGCGCAGCAAGAACAAGCCTCGTCCATTGTCCGCTGCGAAAAAGCGTGCACTCTGCCTGAACGAGATTCCCAAGGAGCAGCAAAACTACGCCCTCTATGAGGGGTTGCACAACTTGTGGGCTGGCTACATGAGGGACGTGCTAGGCCTGAGCGATACTGCGCGGAGTGTCCTTGTCACGCCGAATTCGAGTGGACAACTGCTTGCGACTGCCGACATGCACGGGGCGCTCGTGACTGTAGTGCGAAGCCGATGTGTAAGTCGCGTAGGCTTGGAGGGTATCATCGTTCGTGACACAAGGTTCACATTCGAGATCATCACCAAGAACAACTCTGTGAAATGTAAGTCTAGCAAGCAAGACTTAGGTAAGTGGTAAGTATCTGACAAATTCAGCTGTCCCCAAAGAGCACACGATCCTCCGGTTTGAGGTACCGCTTCCTGAGCAAGATGGGAAGACTCCCATGAAGCCACTTGTGTTTGAACTCAACGCGGAGCAGTTCCAGACAAGAGCGGCTGATCGCGCGAACAAGAAGTTCAGGATGCACTATCAGCCTGACATATGAAGGAGAACACACAACACTTTCTGGCCAACATCTCCCTTCTAGAGGGTATAAGCACTCCATCTGATATCCTAGAGATCTCGAAGCTGGCCCTGGCAACGATGACTGAAACTGCAACACCGCTCGAGACTCGGGTAGCAAGCCAGGCAGGGCTGTGCGTCATGGACTGCATCTTGTTGCGCGTACGTTCTCAGTAACTGAGGAAGGTTTTTAATGAGAAGGAGCACTGGGATGCGAACAAGAGTTGATTGACAAGAACAGCTCTAGTGTTTACGAAGAAGCACAGGTCAAAAGATCTAATTGGAGTAGGCATACAGGTGTATCATTGAGCATGGTATCATTCCGATGAACCCTCAAAACGCCATCCCGCTAAATGCAATGGTATCATAAACAGCAACCCTTTCCGTCTCATGTCAAATTTCTATACGTTCGTCGCAGCCCTCTCAGATTGGAAATCCTCAGGTTTGAAGTTTCTCAACTCGGTGTCATGTCCACCGTTACCCCCATTCATCGAACTGATCTCATCCTTCTCTTTGACAGCCCTGCCTTTGTCCAACTTGCATCCCGTATAGCTTCTGGGTAGATAACGACCCGGATGCCACACAGCAAACACGACTAGCACAGCGAGTACTGGGGCGGCGTCAAACACCCAGAAGCACCATTCGTGGCTCTGCAGGTACAACAACCCATAGTTGCGATCATGGGGTATCTCGATAGTACGGTAGAGCGCTCGTAAGGCGATCAGGACCGAGGAGAGGTTTATCGTATATCCCAACTTGCGCCAAAGGTGCAGGTCTCCCAAGTCATGAGCAGCCCAGTGCCGGCTAATGTAAAAGTACCGCATACTGATGATAGAGAAACTGAGGAAACACAGCACCTGCAGCACCAGCCCCAAAATCAGGATAATCCTGCCAGGTAGTGCTTGCCGTTCCGACGAAGCGATAGTACGGTTCCCTTGCGTATCTTGGTCGTATTGCCGGCTGATTTGACTCGCGCCCACAAGTTGAATGATGAAGCTGAAAAGGTCAAAGGACACAAAAGTGGCGGTGATGTATCTGGGAAAGCACCACAGCGTCTTGAAGTTGAGTGCGTAGGTTGGGCAGGAAAACCACACAACACGACTGAATGCAGTATAACACGCTGCAGCGAGGAAACTGGGCGCGAGCAGGATCATGAGCCAGGAGGCAAGGAAGGGCGACTCTTTGTGCTCGTCATAGGCAGATACCAGACGGCATATGAACCCCAGGTCGAGCATGACAATGGCGATGATTGCTGCCCAGAAGAAATACGCCTTGAGGCGGATGTACTGATAAAGAGAACATGCAGAGACCAACAGTACGAGAATCGCCCCTGTTATGGCGAGAGGGTAAGACGGGTCATATATGTAAGGATTCAGGAAGTTTTGCGCTGTCATGAAAGTCAGCCGCCATGTTGTGCCATGTTGTCTAGTCGCGAAAACTGGAGACGAACATACCATGTTGAGCCCGATTCGGCAACCCCATGATTGATCGCGCTTCCAAGGCGGCGCTCGTAACTTGCATCCTAGCAGACATGTTCCGCTCCGCTCTGGTCCACCTCTTTTTAAATTCCGACCCAAAATGGTTTGTCGATCACAACAACCCGCAGCAGTGATAGTTTTCGCTCTTTCGCAATGCCGAACCTTTGTCACTCATATCCTAGTCGCAGTAATGGAGCAAACACCACAACGTCGTTGTAAAGCAGCACCCTCGTCGCAAAGGCGCATAGTCGAATAGCCAGAAAACGAACCCAGCGGGAAAAGGCGAAGCCAGAAAAATCAAAAGCCCGGCGGCGGTAACGCACGTTTTACCCAGCAGCCCACCTGCGTTCTCCGCTTGCTAAGAGCACTCAAGGCTCTTGGCAGTCCCTTGCCCTTTCCACTCCGCACGCGCGTGTAGCAATCAACCTTGCTGCGCGTCCCTTTTCCTTGTCATCATCTCCCACGCCCCCATCTCGTCTCACATGTGTTGGCTAGGTACAGCCGGGTAACTTGCGACAGATCAGTCTCTTATGCGAGACAGGAACGGGTAAACCGGTGCACTGCACCATGCAATCCGTTTGTGCAGCCAATATTTACCCGCCATACGCGTACCTGCCTCTGGCATGTGTAGTACAGTACGCAGGCCTACTTCCCTCTTTCACTCTCTGGGTTGCTTGTGGGAGGACCGCGTCACGAATCCACGCACATCATCCGGCGGCGTGGCCTTGGCAAACCAACGAAAGCCATGGCATGTGTCTCTGCCAAGATGTTGGCAATAGGCTCGCTCGCCGAAGTATCCGCATATCGGGGTATCGCGTCTTACCATATCGTAGAGCGTGCACTGGGTGTGGTGTTGAAATATCGCCCAAGTGTCTTCGTGGTGTTTAGTCGTTGCCAGCCAAGAGTCACCCCGACGCAGGTATAAGCCGTGGCATTGCTTCGTTGCGCGATATTGTTATCGGATATTTCGGCCTCGACACTGTATGCTTTAGTTGATCTTTGCGATGTTATCCTTGTCAATGGCCTGCAGGACGCTGGTATGAAACTGAGGCGTGGGAATGTGGCGCAGGCGCTTGTCAAACATAGCGTACAGGCGCGTCCTAGCAGCCTGCGCAAGCGGAAGAAGATACCCCCCTTCGCGATCGTTGCAACTTGTCGCGCACTGAGGACGCAATGAATTTGAAGTAGCTTCTTAGTATGTTCTCATTGAAACTGCAGTTTTTCGCTGACCCTGGGATACGTGCGTCCACGGCAAATCTTACCATGTTTGGAAATACATCGTGACTCTCCCTTTCTGAAATCTTACTTCCCAAACCAAAACATTGTCAATTTTCCATTGTCCTAGACGGCTCGGCACGAGATCAGACCACGACATTCTGGACTACTGTTTCATCAAAGTCCTGCCACGAAAACATATCGGCTCGTCCCTCGACTACTTTTCTACTCGTCGTCGAAATCGTCATCGGAAGCATCTTTATCCGCGCTCGCCTTGTTCCCTCCAAGGATCTCAACCTCGTCCTCGTCCTCGTCAAGACCCAAGCCCTTCTTTAACCATCGCACCTCCTTTGGCTTCCTCTCCATCCACAGCTCGTTTGGGATCCAAGTGTAGAAGCTACACATAGTTTCCTTGATGTCGTCGAGAATGGTGAGACCACCAGAAAGGAGCAGGATAGTGGCATCCATCTTCAGGCCCACGAAGCAGTCCTCAAGAATGCTCTCCTCGATCCAAAACTCGTACTCTTTGCCATTGCCAGCTTTCCGTGGCTTACCGTTGGGGTACTTGGTTTTATCCTTGGGTAGATCGTAGTCGTCGCAGTCGTCCGTGTGCCAGGTCTTGCAGGAAAGCTTACCGAGGGGTCCAAGCTGTCCAAGCTTATGTTTGAAGGCCTCGCTCTGCTCTGCGTATGCAGACTTGGTATCGTTGTCGGGAAGATTGATGGCAGTGACCTCAAGGTAGGCAGTGTCCTTGCCGAGAACTTTTAGCTGCCCAGACTCAAACATGTCATATTGCGCCTCCGAACCCAGAACAGCGATGCCAGTGCCGAACTTGATCCTGGCTTCTTCGTCCCGGATACCAATTTCCACAACCGCCAGGCCTTCCTTCTTCAGATCCTCCGCCCAGGACTTGTTACCAGTATACATACCAGCCTGGGCACCACCGAATAAGACGCTAGCAGATTTGTTGAAATCTCCGGGCAGGGCAAGACCTAGAGAGTTGACTTTTGGAAGCTCCTGCTCAGCCTGATCGCAGATTTGAAGTGCAGTGGCAAGCTGGTCATCGAATTCGGGACAGACACGGTGAAAGCGAAGATACCCGAGGAAGGAGCGGGGAACTTGGCAAGCATTTTTGATAGCATACGACGCATAGCCATAGTGGGCGGGATACCAAGATGATCTATTCCAGTCAGTATCGTGTCAGTGGAGCAAAGGGTAAGATGAACCTACAGGAAGGCTTTGCAGAGAGCTACAAAATCTACGACCCACTTGTTCTCATTAGAGCGGTCCCAGGGTACATTGTGGACAGCGAGAGCCCTTGCAAGTTCCTCAGGACCCATCTCATTCATCTCGTGCTTGGAAAGCCCTTGATACATGCGAGGACCAGACTCTACTCCGCCAAAGCGCATGAGCTTGTTGAAGACATGTGCATACATTTCATGCATGCGACGCTTTTGCTTGAAGCGCTGGATGGCGATCTCGATACGTTCGACAAACGGTTTGGTCAGAGTGTACATCTCTTCTTCCTCGGCAGCTTCCACAGGGGTGAGAACAGGCTCAATGTAGGCCTTCTCGAACCCAGTAGCTTTGAGCATATTCTTAGACACCCCTTCGGGATACTTTGCCTTTGTTTGGGGCAGTAGTGGTACTGGATACTGAGCCGGCTGCTGCGCTTTCGCCTTTCGAGAACCCGGGGCGTAGGCAATATCGTCGTCATCTTCGGCATCGAAGTAATCTGGATCGAGGATATTCTTTCCAGTCAAAGGTACCTTACGCTTGATGGTCTTTCCGTCAGCAGACACTTCCAGAAAGGCGCTCAAGCGGAGAGCTGCAGTAACGAGGGTCTTGGGCTTGTATTGGCGCATCCTCTGGAAACCGCGAATGCGACTGATCGAGACGGGGAGATTCTCGCGTCCACCACAGCACTGTAGTAGGTGTTTGTCTGTGGGAAGGTTTTCGTCGGAGAAGTAGAACTCCACCTTGGAGGGAGATTAGTGTGACCGCATGACTGACCAAAAGATCGGAGACTGGTAAACGTACTTGACGACGAATCTCTGCACCATCTGGATGGTCTTCAATGGCAGAGGTAGCAGTACTGTTGCTAGAGGCTTCATCGGTAGGTCCTGCATCCACAATGGGTGCTGTGATCGCGGTCGCCATATCTGCTGCTTTCTGCACTGGGTATTGGGAAAGATGGAATTGATGTGCTTAGAGAGGAGAAAGGGGTGCAATGGGCAAGGATCGTGTGTAGAGAGTTGATGCCGTGGTGAGGCGACAACAAACAGTGCCTTCCGAGATGGTGGGTAACTGCGTTTGCATCTTGAGGTAAGAGCGCACGACTACTTAAGACTGGCCGTCGCAACTTCCGGTTCCGGGTATCTCGTACTCTCACGCGCTTTCACGGTGAGTCCATGCCCAGTAATTTGATACTTGCGCATTGAAGACTAAGTCAAGGTGAGATGCTGGTTCTTGCTAGCGGCGATGAAGGACAATCGGTCGAGGCACATAGCGATGGTATCTGTTGCAGTAACTTTCATGATGGGCCTCTAAATGGGGAATAATAAGAACAAAATCTGGATGGCATAAGACATAATCTTGAAGTCGTACAAAACCAATGGATTGTGCTGGATTAGCGCGAATCGTGATACCCTGGATGACGGCATTGGCTGACTCGCAAAGGACCCTGAAACACATGTCGTGGGGCCTGCAGCCTGCATACCATGTATCTTCCACCTGAACACCAACCACGCGTACGAAGACGTTCATAACATAGCAAGACTCGCTATACAATCCGAAAACCATGGCAACCAAAGCATATGACGCGTCTAATCTGAAAGCATATGGCAGTGCTGCTGCTGGTCAGTAAGTGCCTTGTTGCCTGCCGCCTGTCAGCCTCCCCACCCATACTAACACCACAACCCAGCGATGGTGTCCTCAGCGACGAGTCTGGTGGTGTAGTAGTAAAGCCCTGCACCCTTGCAGAGATCAACTTCTACGAGTCCCTCACCGACCACCCGGACCTCGCGCGTCACCTCCCCACCTTCATGGGCCAACTCTCCCTCTCAGCCGACCAAGCCGCCGCTACCGAGTCTGTCGAAAGCGGCACCATACAAACGGCCGACGGTACAATTGAGCGTTTGCATGGCAAGAAACTCGCTACAGATCTTCACATCGTGCTAGAGAATATTACACATGGGTTCAAGAAACCGAATGTTCTGGATCTGAAGCTTGGCGCGCAGCTGTGGGATGAGGCTGCGAAGCCGGAGAAAAGAGCGCGTCTAGATGCCGTAAGCAAGGAGACCACAAGCGGCAGTCTAGGGTTTAGGATAGCGGGTATGCGCACGTACAAGGGTAGTGATGTACCCGACATCCCCGAAGACCTGAAGGAGTATGTGGAAACGGACAAGGAAGACGGATATTGGGTGTACAACAAGATGTATGGACGCAAATTCAGCGCTGAGAACGTGAGTGAAGGCTTCACAGACTACATCTTCCCTGGTGCAAAGTCAGAAGCAGAGCTCGATCGGGCGAGGGAGGTGCTCGCCTACTTTCTGGGAGAGGTCAAGGACATCCAAGAGGTTTTTGAAAGCAAAGAGAGCAGGATGTACAGCGCAAGCATACTACTGGTATATGAGGGTGACGTAGACGAGTACGCAAATACCAAGCAGAAGCTACGATCTGCACATCCGGAAGATGAGGATGAAGACGATGAAGAGACTCTGCCTAAATTGGCCGAAGTCAAGATGATTGACTTCGCGCACGCGACATGGACACCGGGGCAAGGGCCGGATGAGAATTCGCTGCAAGGTATGAGGAGCACGGCAAAGATATTGAAAGAGCTATTGGACAAGGCGCAGCATGACTAGGGGCAGATGAATAGTTCATTTGGTTGAAGTGCAATGCATAGACGAAGTATATCTGTGAGTACAGCTCCGACGTTTTGGTCAATCGAACCATTGCCCGTCGACCTCTCATTGTTTCAACGGTTTTGGTTTCTAAGCATACCACCTAGAAAGCCAGCGCACTGTTGCCGAGGATGATGATTGAACACGTGGCATTTATACTATCATAATCCCTCTCCATGAAGAAGCAAATGTGGAACGTGTGTCACAGACACGACCATTGATAGAGGCAATCAGATTCCCAGTAGTGTCTCTTCCCAATCACCCACTCCCTTCATCAACGAATCAAAGAACGCCGCATCTACACCCTGGAACGCCCAGTCATTCGTTCCTGCGGTCAGTCCAGGATAGTGTTGTGGCGTATTGAAGATTGTATCAGAGGATGTCAATCCAGACTGTAGGGTCTGAAAGTTCTGTGTGTTGGGCTGTGCTGCAAGGAGGTCGGATGATATATTATCGCTAATGTCCCGACCAAAGGTGGAAAAGACATTATTCTCGACAGCCATCAGGTTTGAGGACGACGGACCAACAAGCATGTCCACACCAGGAGCCTGCTGACTAGGCCCTTCTTTCGTGATGCCTTTTGTACAAATCTTGATAATTCCAAAATATGGTATCGAGAGCTGAAACTGCTCGCCGCAGCCCTCCTCAAGCCGATCGACAGTGCTCTCACCAGTATGACTCGACCCACGTGCAGCGTCGCTTTCAATCTCGAGCAAGCTCCGAAGCTGCTCAGCACTTTTGCCTGTGAGGGGTTCGTTCGTCTGCGTCGAAACCAGTTCCAATTTTTCGACAAGCTGCTCGACCATGGCGCGGTCGCCGGGTCGTTGATGTACTAGAAAACTATGATCTTTCCAGCGACAGCTGTCTATGTGCGCGATCAAAATCGTCATCCCGGCCATGAGCGCGAAGAAGTCCGCTGTGTGACATGACTGGGTCGAGATTGGTCGAAAATTTTGGAACGCGACAAATCTTGTAAGAACGTCTCTGGCCGCATTGATACAGGTTATCTTGGCGTACATATGAAAATCTGAATCCTTGCCGCAATGTAAGAGGAAAGGCAGGTGCAGAAGATGAAGCAAATTGTACTGGTAAAGCTGATCTCGAAGCCGCATTAGCTCCTCAAAGGCCTCCTTCGTGCTTGGTTGCAGCCTAGTGAAACTTGGTGCAAGCCAGTATTTGTCAGGAAGGGATTTTGTCACGTTCTGGAGGTCGCGATCCAGTTTGCGGGTAGCCTCAATGTTTTGAAGCGGATCTCCTCGGTTGCGGTCAACGATACCACGTGCGATGAGGGTATGTGCTCGATCGATTTTGCAGCTCAGGCTCTCTCCAGGGACAGGGACCTCCATGTTCGTAGTCTGGCCTCCATGGGGCAGACCGAGCATCAGGCTCAGATAGCTGTCCATATGAACAATTCGAAACCATAGGAATTTTGGGCCCACTCTGTGTTTATTTTCTAAGAACTTGATCGGTGGAGGGTTGGGTGTATCCAACCTCATCAACTGCGCAAATACCATGGCTCTTCTGAAAGCTATCCACGATCGCCGAAGGTTGCCGGCGTTGGATTGGAAGATGGCTTCGTATATTATACACTCCAGTCCTTCGATACAGCCTACTAGTTGATCGTTGGTGATGACCATGCGAACAGCCGTATCCACCATGCGCACGGCGAGAGCATTCGGGTCTCCAGATAGGCGATCGGCTCCGTTACACCGAAAGTACTGCAGCATGAGGGCTAGAATAAGCATATGCCTGGCCATAAGAACTGGGGGTGTAGTAGAGGCGTCGGGAACCGTGGCCAATTCGTCGGCAATGTCGAACGATTCGTGCTCTAAGAGGTTGCTGGATCCCGTGAGACATTTGTAGCTATACAAGGTCGCGCTGCGGTCCGATCTGCATATGAGATCGAGGTCTCGCTGAGCAGGAAACGTTTGACGTAGGCCGATCGAGATGTTTTCACCGTCTTCTGCCTGCAGAAAGTTTTGTTCCGGTGTCAGTGCAGCAGAGCCGGGTGTCGGAAGTTGCACAAAGTCGATTGCTGCTGAGTCGTGTCTTAAGTCTTCCGATTGCGCAAGTAATGTTTCGGCTTTTCGCAGGCGCTCAAGGAGTTGTTCATAAGAGAGAGCAGGAGCTGGATAGGTCCTGTTGACCCCATCGCCTGAACGCAGCGATGTTAATGACGGGCTGCTATCGTCCTCCTGAAGAAGGACTTCATCCGGCTGGTCCTGGCGAACACATGGCGCGTTTCGACGACGACAAGCTACACATATTGTATCTGATGTTGCATCGAATGTGCATTTCACTTTCCGCTTTTTGCAGTCCCAACAGCTTGTCGTGCCCTTTCGAAGTTTGCGCCGCTTGCTGGGAGGCTCAAAGCTGCTCACGTTGGTGTCATTGACAGCCGGCCCCATGGCAACCAACGCTAGCCCGATTCGGTGGCACGTACGATTCCTCCACTCAAGGAGAGTAATCCGAAGTTTGGCAGAAGTACGCTAGTGAGGGTGTGATGAATCTTGCGATGGAATCGAATGCGAAATTGTTCATACGAGACGAGTTTGACACCTAGGTAGTACGGGGGACAGTGACCGAGCCACCTGCAGCTCGGCGGAAGAAGCCTCGGACTCCGAACATGTCGCTAAGAGGCCAGCGAGAATGGGAAATGTGCCTCTGGGTCTGGAGGCCTGATTTGTACGGCAACGGTCATTGGTCGCTGAAAGGCCAATCACACAGCAGCACAAGGTCTACCATGCAAACGAGTCAACGCAGACATGGGCGTATTTTTGGCTGTACGAAAAGGCCTCAGTGGCGTTTTGTGAATCGATCGACATCTAAACTCTATGAGACTAATCTTAGAAGGTTGTAAACATTACAAATGACACACAAGTGCAGGGGGACGCTACCTGCCCATGTAGCTAGGATGGTGAACCTCCTTGAAATACAATCTATGTTCCTCGATAGGCAACGAAGTACTAAACAAATGCCATCAACGTGTCCTTCGACCCTAGCAAGCCCCCGTGCTTGAAGATTACGCAGCTCCGGCCTGAACCTTCTCCATGTTGAGCTTCTTGAAGGGTGTAAGTGCGGCAGCTAGGACCGCTACACCCGCCAAAGCGATCGCAATAGCGAGTGCGACTTTTATTCCTGCCATGTATGCCACCACAATGCCCGGTATATCTTCGGTACTGAATGTCTGTCGAAGCTGAGTAGCTCCAGTTCCGATTACCGCTTGCGGATCCACGTTTGGTGCTGTGATCGCAAGCGTGGTAATCATGCGATTTACGAAGCCGGACTGGGCAGCGGTCAATGAGAATGCGCCGCCGATGGTTTGAAAAACTACAACACGTTAGTTCTTTCCATTGGTATATGTTTTTCGGGCATACAAAAGACTGTTGCCGTCGCCGAGGACATGTCCTTTATCGTTGCGTTGGCCTGAGCTGTATTGATGGCCATCTGAAAGCCCAAGCCCACTGCGATACCATAAAGAGCCTGGTATCCTATCCATTTGCCTAGTCCAGTGCCGATGTCAAACGTATACATCAGACCAGTAGCGATAGTCGCTAGGATAGCACCTGCATTCATGAAAGGCGCAGCGTAGCCCGTCTTCGATACAACACCGCCACTAATGATGCTGCCTATCACCATTGCGAGGACCAAAGGAAGGTTGAGTACACCCGAGTTGATTGCGCTTCGGTTGTCAACGCTCTGGAAGTAGATCGGCAGATAGTACAGTAGTACAAGATACGCTGACGAATAGAAGAAGATGAAAGCGGATGGCTGCCATAGGGTGCGCTCGCGGAGAAGACGGGGTGGAAGCATCGAGCGCTCGCCATTGAAGATCTCCCATACGATGAAGGTGACGAGAATGGCCACGAAGCCTACCTAACATACGGATATACAAAGTCAGTATATGTCTCAAATTCAGTTTGTACAGTAACAACTTACCAATAGGCCGATGACAAGACTGCTGCCCCAAGGCTTCTTCTGGCCACCGTTCTCGAGTGCCAGGATGTACGCGACGATGCCACCCATGACAAGTGCGATGCCGAGAGGATCCATTTGCAAAAACTTCTCTTTCCAAGTCGCTTTGACGACGACGACTTGCGGTGGGGTCTTGTAGGTGAACAATATAAGGGCTCCAGAGGCCCCGCCGATAGGAAGGTTTATGTAAAAGCTATGCCATCATCAGCTGGTGAGTAGAACATCTATGGTAACGTGCCTACATACCACCATCGCCAGCTCACCGTGTCTGCAAAGACACCTCCCAAAAGCGGACCGACGACGCTAGATAGACCGTATACTGCACCAACAAGGCCCATAAGAGCTGGTCGTCGTTTTGGCTCGGCAGACAATGCAGCCATAGTGAACGCACCCGTTACTACAGCGGCAGAGCCGACACCAGCGATTGCGCGACCCACGACGAACGTTGTAGAGTTCTGAGCCACGGCACAGACCAAGCTTCCAATCTCAAAGACGAAGATGGCCCCGAGGAACGACCACTTAAGCGGAAAGTAACGGTAGAATTTACCAGATGCGGATTGGAAACCACCAAATGTCATGAAGTACGCGGAGCCATACTAGAGTAAGTTAGAACCATGGAATTCGAATCCATATCACTAGAGTATTAAACTCACCCAAGAGACCATGTTGAGGCCCTGGAATTCATCGGTGATCTTGGGAATAGCAGTGCCAATGATGGTCATGTCCAGAGCAGTAAGGAATACTGCACATAGTACAGCGATCAAGATGGGAACTAGCCGCATGCCACTAGGATACTCCTCTTGAATTTTGTTGGTTGCATCGTCGTGAGTAGATCTGACCTCCTCCATATCCTGTTTGTACTGCTGCTGTTCCTTCTCTTCCGCGAAAACATCCGGTGTGGTAACACCACTAGCACACTGCGTAGCTGTATCAGACGCAGCTGATGTTTTGGTTCTATGCGAGTCCATTATATGTGTTCGTGGTAGTTGAGTTTGCGGAGTATAGTCAATATCTGTATTAGAAATGAAAAGGTGTCGTGGTAACAGCCGCCTGGAAGATGATAAACAATGTATGCGAACTCCTCATACATATACCATCCTATAGAGGAAAGCATCCGTAATATCTGTGACCGATCCGAGGTCTTGGCACGCTCTTCCTCCGAGCGCTTCGGAGGATGGAGGTCAGTATTCTTCATTCCGCCGAGATGCGCCAAACAATCCCAATTTCGAATATGGGTTGTATTCGGAGAACGCGTCTTTGCACCGCGCAGAACAGCGGCCAATACCACGTGGTAAGAGCAACATGCGACTGGTGGATGGAGGCGATTAGTCAGCACTCCATTGGGTCCGGAAGAGACACTTGTTCCACTTCGCACCACCCTCATTCCGATAGCCATGTCGCAATTCTCTCAATCAAAGGTGCTCCTCCCACTGTACATTTACCCACAAGTCGGCGCATGGGATCCTCTTTACACAGCGTAGCTTCCCCCTGCTATTAACCTTTTTCTCACTGATCTCTCTCAGCGTTGCCGCAAATCCGTGTGTTCGATTTGTCGTCATCATCAATCCGAATAGTGGGCCAGGTGCAGCACCGTGGTGGCCGAATGAGGACTATGTTCGGGAAATAGCACGGCTAAATGCATTGCCGAATGTTACGACCCTGGGCTATGTACGGGTAGCCTATTGCAGACGACCGGTTCAAGACGTTCTAGAGGACATCGAAACATACGGTAGAAGAGCCAGAGAGGATGACCGTTTGAGGGTCGAAGGTATCTTCGTCGATGAGACGGTGAATTTGTACTCAGAAGAGGCTAAGAAGTACCTCGATGCTATCGATCGCAGAGCGCGAACTCTTATTGGTGTCGTCGAGAACAAAATGGCAAGTCTGAACATTTTCTTAAACGAGACCGAGCAATCCGAGCTGATAACGCCCAAGATGATTCATAATCCTGGTACAGCAGTAAGCGCTGAGCTTGCAGCACCTGGACCCGAGATCACGGTGGTTGTAGAAACATCCTACGAGGAATTTATGACTGAAGGATACCAGGAGTGGCTTTCTACTTCGCCGTACAAGCGTGCTCGAACTGCGTACATAGTACATTCTGTTCCACAAGGAGAGGTGAAGGCTCTAACGATAGCGCTTTGCGAGCGAGCAGAGTATCTGTTTGTAACAAGTGCGTTCTGCGGCTTCTACGAGAGTTTCGCTGGAAGCTGGCATGACTTTGTCGCATCGCTAGCGGAGCGGCGAAAGTAAACACATTGGACATCTTGGACATCTGTAGAGTTGTGGAGCGATAGTACTGAGAAACTGTAAGTGGAACATAAAGCTCCACAAATCCTCTTCTCGTGAGTAGATGCCCTATGCTGTCGAAATGGTCTCACAACACGAATTCGTCTGGTGCCGCGGTATCGGGGGCTTTTCGTAAATCTGGAGAATTTCAGGACCCCATTCTTGGATGTGTTTCGTCAGCGCTGTGATGCTCTACACTGGAGCGTGGTGTCTTGCTCCTGTAGGGCCTCCTCAATAGTAGCCCAGATCCTACATCGGTTCCAAAAGCCGTCAGGTACATCAAGTAGGCGGTCGTCGCATCCACTTATCGAAAAGCGTTTCGTCGCAAGAAGCTTTGCAGCAACTTTCCAATCCCAGGATGCAGTCGGATCTAAAAGCGCTGCATTAGGATCAGATAGATGGTGCTCGATCCACTTCGTGTCTAGATCCCAAATATGCGGATGGAGACTTCCGTCCCGAAGACTATTTCGCCAGAACACAGAGTCGAGCGGAATCCGCAGAGCGAGTGCTTTCGATGTGCGATGTAGTACGATGACGGATTGTATTGGTAGATAGCTGCAGATAGCGTCCATCATTTCTGTAGGAAGGCGCTCCAGTCTCTGGGGTTCACGTGTTGCTTTCAACACGTACTCTGGCTCGTCTCTTCTACGTGGCGAGCTTTGCAATACCCTTTGAACAAAGGATGCAGTACCTTTCCCTTCGATGGGGTCGGTATAAAATTTCTATATATCATCAGTAGTCTGCTTCAGAAACGTACTGTTGCACCTTACATCATATTTCCCACCCCACCAATCCAGTCTGCTCAAGGCTAACACGCTTCTAGCACCATATTCCGAAGAGGAGGAGCATAGATCGAAGATGTCGTTTGATGTCTCGTTTGGTTCGTCTGTGCAGCATTTCCGTTGGTCGAAGCGAGTACTTAGTAGTCGATACAATATCTTGAGAGTGGGTTCTAGTCCAACCTCCCTTCTTGTCGAATACCGATGCTCTATAACTCTACAACTCGTTACGATGCATCCTTCATGCAACGGAAACAATGTTCCATGGTCGCCTGTGTAAGAAAGAGCGTCGAACCAGATATCATCTTGTCCAGCGTCGTCGACAATCCGAAAGTAGCCCGAACCAGTCAAGCTGAAGGATGCGACTTCTGAGAGATAAATATCGGGCAGTTCGGAAACGTTGACCGGGCTTCTCGGAACTTTAGCTGAAGAAGAGAAAGAATGAGCGTGGCCCCTTCTTACATCGACCCCTCGCTGGCTACCATGTGTTCGGCCACGTCGGCCATGCTACCAAGCAGACGAAGGTTGTTCAACCACTGTGTTTTGTATTGAATTAATATTTTGCAACAGCTTCCTCGGGGGATGCTTTACCTGAAACCGGATGTCTTTGGGATCGATGTTGTATACATCGCCTTCGATATGGAACGGGCTGCCACATATAACGCAAAAGGTTCCTGCCTCCATGGCATGTCGAGCGTCGCTCTTCCAGACCTCTTCGACCTTCGAAGAATGTAGACCGCCCATGTTAGCACCGTGCGATCGGATTGTAGCAGGTGCGGATCTAGAGGGCGGCCGAGGTTATTGATCCGCAAAATGATAACGCCCCGTTCCGTTCACCTAATCTAGTCTGACAGGAGGCTGCTTTCGCGTCCCGTTGAACGAATGCTGTCGAAGCAGATGTGAGACGCCAGATTGGATGTGTGACACTGGATAGGTCCGTCGCGATGGATCGATGACGGTAGTCCATTCCGCCGTAACCTAAGGAGGTATAGCGCTTCTATAGCGCTCCCCACCACTTCCGAAGCGGCCTGAGATGGCTGACTAGTGGTGTTCTTGTCCTACAAATAGAGGGATGTTTGTCATATGCGCGTTTGTGTGAACGTTCATTATTGGTTTGGTTTCGCAACCAAGAACGTTCATCTTTATCAACGATGGCGTGTGCACGGAGCTCGGAATTCCGACAAGCACATCCGAAGCGGCGGAACACCGCTTATCATGCGACTTGTACGATTAGGCAGTCTCTATGAACTCGACTCATTCTTTGTACATCATATACTCGCGACCATAGTCTTCCTCCTCCGCGGACAGGTCAGAAATGTCGTCCATTACTAACTGAGTGCTATTCCCGATCAGTCCTGTTAACCAAGGATACATCTCTGGCGATCTTATCTCGTTCGCCTCTGCGTGGTGGAATTCAGACACGGACCTCTCGCCTGGCTCAAGCACATACTTATGCCCAGCCCAACGTATGCGAGGCTTTTCAACGTATGGACGCCAACCATGGGATGTAGTCTTTATGGGATCAGGTATCTCTGTGACAGATTCAGTTCTGATGAGGAGTGTATCCTCCATATCTGATCGATCGTCCTCTATTACTGGGTCAAGCGCCATCCGCACAAGCTTCTGAGGACCCTCATCCTGAAGGGCGTTTCAGAAAACTTTCAGTGCAGGTAGTGCCTGCTTTTGAGGCAAGACCAAATCTCTGGCTTGTTTATAATTCGGCATCGGGAATCAGGTACCAGCGGCTTCCTCTGGTTACCTCAAGAGTTTGAAGCGAGGTATTGTTGATGACGTGTGTCTGTCAAAGAGGATGTAGGCCATGGCATATCCTCGTTATAGGTCACTGTAAGTATGGTCAATTTGGAGAGTACGTGTGAACGCAAATGCCAAGGTAGTAGGCTTTTGTACAAGTCCATCGGAATGCTATGCAGTTGCCAATGCGAAGGTACCAAGTCAGCGTATGTCTCACATGCATCTCGAGCTGTCACGATCTACCGCAAGTATGCGAAGATTGGGCAGTAGGTCTAGCATAAGTGCGACTAGTGCATCTTCATATCCAGCACGTATGTTCTCGCACAAGATAAGTTCGTGCGGGCGCGCCCCAGAACTTGACCTTTTCTTGACGAATTCTTTGTACCAACTTTGCTCATGCCTGTTGGAGATTGTAGCCGTTTAGTGTTATGGCTCCGAGAGGGGGGTTTCGGTCCGATTGGTAAGGCATGAGGGTTGGAGAGCACTACCTGGACCCTAAATCAGTACAAACTTGACTACTCCATGCATTTGGAGATGCTTATAGCCTTGTCTTTAAATTGTCTTGTGTCTGTAAGAGAAACTTCCATGACGCGTTGCTGATTTCATGCTAGCGTGGCATTCTCGCGTCCCGACGCTTCGGCAGCCGAGATGACTGCGCGTCATCAAGCTTCAGCTTATCGTCTTCACAGGCGGAGGTCCAGGGAACAACGTCGCAATACATCACGGCAATTGTCTGCTATCAGCTTGAATTTTTTTTTTCATTTCTTATCTTCTGTTTCGAGCCACCTTATGTGTCTTCCTCCAACCTTCCATCGCCCAACACTCGCGGAAACAATTCGCAATCGAGAGTATGTGTATGAGGTCCAATAACCTTCATGTCCCACCGCCAGGATGACAGCCACAGAAACCCAACGTGATCCAAGAATGCATAAAGCTACCCGAGGCCGAAGGACCAGCACAACTATCGCGTGGCGTTTTGATGGCAACACCCTCTTAGATCCATTTCTCGAAGCTGCGGCGGTCATCAGGCGCATGCATTCCATGATATCTCTCGTGGTATCGTGTATCACTTCCTGCAGTCGTGTTCTGCACGCCCTGGCCATCTGTCGCTCTGCTGAAGTCATCCATCTCGTAGGAACCACCGGGTGCATCCCTCTTCTTTTCCGCACCAACCCGACCTCCTACCGGCGTTCCCTTGCGCTCCTCTCTACGTGGAAATAGATTTGCGTTGTACGTCTGTAGCCTGGTACCGCCAGGGCTCGCGGTTCTTTTGCGTCCTGGCAAAAACGATACGGGAGGCGGCTGAGTCAAATCTTCGGCTGAGCTGTTCAGGGAGTTATGTCTGAGTACGGAGCGAATATTTTCTTTCGAAACGATACGGGCTATATTGCGATCGGACTCATCGCGCACAAGTTGCTGAGGACGGAAACCGCTGACATAATCCCGGGTACTATTCTGTCGCACGGAACTCTCAGAGGGAACGGATGGAATAAGCTCGTCCATCCCCGGCCATGCTGTTGCTTTAGGCGGAGAAGTGCCTGGCCAAGGGAGAGGCTTAGGCATCTCCCTGAGATGGCTGTCCTTTACACCAACACGAAGATCGCCAGAATACGGAGCTGGTTTGATGGGAACGGGTAGCCTTGTAGCTGGCTTTGCAGGCTGAATGCGTTGCGATTTATCAGTAGCGCCTTCACGTACAGTGTGAAGCTTCGTCAACGAGATCTCGTCATCCCAACCGCTGCCTTCATAGCTGGGCACCCGCACATCTGCGTAGGCCCTGCTTCCTAACACCTGTGGTGCAGCCCGCTCGTCATGTTGGTACTGACGGGGTAATGGTTGCGGTGCGGCACCCATCTGGCCCTTGGACGAGAACTCTGACACATCCGTATCATGGTGTGTTTGTCCGGTCTGGGGATTGTGTGACAGGCTAGAAGAATCTAAGTGATGGGTTGAAGTGAAGATGTTTTGCTTGGATGGCTTGTGCTCTGGATGGGGGCGTGGCCATGGTGTGACTATGGTCGTATCGGAAGATTCCAATGAAGCAAGACTCATGCAACTCTCACCTAACGAGAGGTCTCGGGCGCTAGACGCACGGCGAATTGGACCTTCACCAGGGATATGGATTTGCCGTGTCACACCGTGCAACGGACTCTTCGGCTCTTCCTTTGACGCCGTTCTGGACACGCCACGAGACAGCGAGCGACGAATACTATCCGAGTATCTTTTGATCGGGCTTTCGTTACCGTCTCTGTTTCGTTTGTTGTGGTATTCGGTGGGAGAGCCCTTCTTTATAGGGCTCCGACTACCGTGCCGGTTCACCATCTGGGGCTGGAAACTCTTCACTTCACCATTGGTCTCCGCGGCCTTCCTACGGTCTGCTCGTGCTCGTTGCTCATTCAACCACTCCTCCATCTTGTGTTTGAACTTGGGTCGCTCAACCAAACCGCCGTACTGAGGATACACGTCGCGAAGCTCCTTCTCGGTGTCGTCGTAGTGCTTTCGTGTAAGCATGCCGGCCCCTTCAACACGCTTTTGGAATGTAGCGCTATCATCGCCGATGACTTTCTTCGGTAAAGAAATGATGCGGTACGGAGTGGGCGATATCAGGCTTCCCTCAGGTACTATCACATTGCCCTTTGGGAATGCAAGACCAGATGGGCATCGTTCTTCGATGTAGAGTGCAAGGCGACCGTAGTGTCGTCGGCCTCTGATGCTGTAGGAAGTACGGACTGCGTCAATGATCGGTACGAAGACCGCTTCCCAGGCAATGCAGATGTTGCGAAGCTCAAAGTAGTCAAAGCCCCATGGGTTGCGTGATTTACCAACCTTGAATACCTGCAGCAGCCAAGCGAAGAGATGCTTCTCGTACGCCTGCACATTCCAGTTGCTCTTGTCGATCGCACCATAAATACTGGAGTCAGTTGTGTACTCCCCACTGTACTTGTTCGCACGTGGATCGTAGCGGCGTATCCCTTCATCGAACTGTGTATAAAACCACAATAGGTCTGTGCGCGAGATGCCATCCCCCCGGTCTTCTCTAGCTATCGTTGTCGCACGAGGCATTGCATCCGGTCGCAACAGGAAGATCGAATCGCGGAACACAGCCCACGGCTCTAGAAATGCAGCAGTTGCGAGAAAGCGCTCTTCGAGGCTGTCGAGGCCGGATAGTTGCAACAACGACAGTGCTTGTTTGAGCTCCGGAGAGATCTTTTCCCTATCGCCGCGTGCAAAGAAGTCGCGTACGTTTTTGATCCCTGAGTTGGACGGAGAGTGCGCCATCTCGACTTCGATTATGAGCGCGTCAATCACGGCTTTTGGTCGTGGTGATGGTCAATCTGCGTTGCTGCTGTTTGGTAGAAAGTAATATCTCTAGCGCCGTTCTCCTGCCGAGAACAAGATCTTTAGCCCTCTATTACGCCTCAGTGAATGCGACTAGATGCGGAGTATACTCAAGTGACGATAGTATGAAATCTGGTGGCAGCCTCACCTTCACTACGATCCGACAGCCCACCGTCGCTCCACTCAAACCACCACTGATACTGTGCTCAGTCCAGTGATTGGAGGATCACATACGGGAGCCTTGCGCAACCAACAACTATTTCGTACTAGCAAGCCTCTTTCACGTGTAGGATCACTACAGCTCACAACAAGTACGAGTATGGTCAATGCGCATAGAACAAACACTGTACTATCTTTCTACGACTCTGATTATATGCTTGCCTCTGTTTCCACTGGCTTAAAGTCTTTTACATCTTGCTTCACGCTTCTGTTCCTATGAATACCTCCTCAACCGTACGTATGACAACCAGGATGAGTCTCATATACCTCCCAATCTTCGCGGCAGCTGCCATGCAGGTCCTAGGGGTGGTTGTTCCTCAACAACCACCTATCTTCTCAGGCCCATGCGCCGTCCTACCCCCGTCTAACAAGACTGAAACTCCAAGCTATGATGGGGTAAAATCAGGCGCCTCATCTATCTGGGGTCACGAGGGCAGCGGCGGACCGAAGAAATGGACAGACCTCTACGTCAAGGGTCTCACCGTCATACCATATTGCTTTCCGTAAGTTTTCCTGCATGCTGACTGGCAGCCTGTCGTCCGAGAGAATCGTTCCACCGAAACCCTATGAAAATTAGGATTAGTTCAAGATACCCTGCGTCATCAGTTTTCCTGCACAGACTGCATGTGAGACACACACTGACTTGGCATGCCTACATTTAGTACTGAAGAACATCGCAAAGCCAACATCGCGAAAGTGGAAGCAGCCACCGAACTTTGGATCACAGCGCTTGGTGGTAAGGCTTCGGAGGCTAGTGGTCATAAGATCATGTTCTCTGAATGGATTGATCCTCGGAAGAAACCCATGTACTGCATCGACGTGAACAGTCCAGTTGATAGTAAGTGGAACATGGCTGTTCCATACAAAACAGTCGCTATCTGGAAGGATGGTCGTGCGGGAAAACGCGCCGCATCATCTACTGTGGGAATGGGTGATTCTCCTGGAAAGCCATGGGATTTGGACATGTGGCTTGGTGAAGAGGCTAGCGTTCAGACCATTGCACATGAATTCGGCCATGTCATGGGTACGTAAACAGCCATCCAAAATTTTAAGGTCGTGAAGCTAAAACACTGAAGGAATGATGCACGAGCAACAGTAGGTGTCTCTGTACGAACCGCGCGTGAGACATATACTGACTTCGTACACCCACAAATAGACGATCCGACCGCGACACATATGTACGCTACGACTGCATGAAGGTAGATTCCGACTATTTAAGATGCATGGAGATATATGCTAACTCCGTACTTCCACCACTACAGCTCACAGATTACTCCACCGCTCTCGCACGTGCTCGCGAATCCGACCCTAGTGTGACGACTGCAGAGCTTTGTAATGACGTCAACATAGCTGCCAAATATGAATTTAGCGGTCGCTCCTTCACCAAATCCGTTCTCTATGGGAAATCCAACGACGGATGGATGCTGAATCTCGATACGCCGTACGATGTCAACAGTAGGTATCTCCTAGTCAAAAGCTTATGTGAGTCATTTGCTGACCTCGTACATCGAATTTAGGGCATTATGCACTATAATAGCTACATCATGGGTAATGATAAGTGTCAGAGAGGCAATCAAGCTGAGTGCCCAGTAGCGGTGTACAGGGATAGCACGATCCATGACAAGGGGTTTGAGATGATTCCGTTGTGGTTCAAACCGAGTCAATGGGATGCTGCATGGGTTAAGGTGCAGTATGGGTGGTCGGGGTGCTGTGATAGCGCTGAGACAAAAGGTGTAGTGGATGGCGGTGAGGTTGGGAACACTGAATTAGATGAGCTGCTTTGGCAGGCGCGAGAAGAGTATGTCAAAGGACAGTTGTAGCTTGCATTGTCAACTTTCATACTTGACTTCCTACGAGGCTATACTGGGACATAAGACATGTTAGGCAGTGCAGCGAGACATGTATCATGAGAGACATAAAGGAAGACGAGCGAAGCAGACTTGGCATAACTTTGAGCGGCGTGAAGTCAAACTATCATGAATCATTCTTACAATGGTAATCTTCGGAACGATTATGGGTTCTAGGTCATGTATTTGGGCAGATCTGAAATGTCATCAGCAAAGGCTTGTTCTCCGCATCGAAGTAACGCAAAAGACCATTGCCTCACACACTATATTTCGTCTACGAAGAGTATCCCAAATTATCGAATTCGTCAGCTGAATTCGAACAATGAGCGGTGAATCTGCTAGCGCGTTTGAGAGCAAACACTCCACGTCCAAGGACTCATATCGCTTACAAGAACCACAAAATCGCACACTGCTTTTATTCGTCAGCAGAATGAGTCTCGAAAACACTCCCGCCACAATGGCAGCTTTTACTGTCGACGAAACGAGTGCGCCCACTAGTATCGAAGACAGCAACCACCAGCAAAACGGTAAAGCTGAATATACCACAGCCACCAATCTTATCGACGCTACTAATCTCAGTGTTCAAGGAATCGTTGTCGCTGCCGGCTACCCAAGACATCTTACGCTTGACGTTGGTGGGCGCAAGTTCAAAGTCTCGTGTGACACGCTGAAGTCTGAGTCTGGCTGGTTTAAGAGGCAGCTCTCCGGACGTTTCGGTCCATGGGAGCCTGAGCTGGATGGCTCATACTTCATGGACACTGACCCTGATCTCTTTGAGTATCTTCTTCGCTTCATGCGCCGTCCCGAAGTCTTTCCTCTTTTCTACAGCAAGATGAACGGCTTTGACTATGACCTATACAATCGCCTGCAAGCAGAGGCGCTTTACTTTCAGACGGACACGCTATACGAGTGGATAAAAGACAAGGCATGCTGCATGCGTCAATCAAATTCGAACAGTACTAACTCATATCTAGAGATACCTCAACGCTATCAAAGTCAAAACTTCGAGCCTAGATATCCGCGTAGTTCATAGCCTCGATTATGTACAGCAAGAGATTCTTCCAGTCCACAAGACCGAAGAGTTGCATGTCGTTCCGCGAACACGCAAAGTTTACCTTTGTCCTCGCCAGATCGCGGGTCACAAAGGCCATCCTGAACTTTGCGGTGCGGCATGTCATAAGAGGCAGGCGGATAATGCGGTAGAATACGAGGACGTGGGTTTTCTGCAGGTAGTCAGCCTACAAAAGGAGATTGTCTTCGACGAAAAGGTCTGTAGAGACGACTGATAATATCGACGTTCCGGGAAGTGAAGGGACAGCGTTTGTATGTCACGCAGATGAGCACACGGAGTGGACCCAATGGCTTGGTGGGAATGGTATCTCGTGGAATTTGTGCTATACGGCTAATGTGCGATGATTCTCCTATTCCATCACTTCCCCAAACCTGATCCGTGGACCTCAAGGCTTCTAATTGGTGTACGCTTTCATTGTAATGGGCTTAGCTGGAAAATACCTAGCGACAGAATCTAATCAGGCGAATAGCTCGCATACTTGAGATCATCTCAGAGTGTCAGAACTACGGTATTGAATCAACAATGCACCGAGATAATCTCTAGAGTGCTGCTTGTCTTCGACACCCGGTGGACATGCATCGTCACTCGTTCTGTCCCGGTTGCTAAACCAGGGTAATCTCCAGGACAGAGCAGTCGAGCCGCCTCTTCTGCAAGAGGCCAATTGATGCGCGTACTGCACATCGGCATCTGCAGCTTCAATGCCAACTCAATCGCATCAAGAGACTGATTCTCCATCGCTCTTGCAATCCTTGTTCCTTATCCCGGTAGCTCCGTGTCCGTCACGTCAGCGTCTGTGCGTCTCAACCTCGTCGTCACTGTCCCCGCCTTTCTTGAGGTTCGACAAATTGTCGCGAATCACAGTCCCGGAGGCACCCTTGGTATGATGTTCTTCTTCCACAGGGAACCTCGCTTATCGGCAGGATGCGTGTCGTACTTGAGAGCCTCGCACCATACATATGGTTGTGCGTAGAAAGCCGGTCTGCTTAGATTTGTACATTTCCTCTGGGCGACAAGCTTTCCACTTGTACAACTTCGGATGATCCATCGTCTTGATCTCCTGGATGATAGGCAGCAGTGTACGGACTGTGTATTTCTTGCGAAACTAGGTCAACAAAGCCTATAGGCATCGGCTGTCGTAGCGGGGGACTGTGCTCCGCATACACAGCCTTTCGCGGAAAAGTCGAATTACGTGAATGTTGGCTCATGGAGTTGAACAGATCAGTATGTTCTATCCATACTCATGCTCGATTGAAGTGGAGGTGGCATCGACGGGTCGGCGGCTGAGGACGGGTACGTGGAAGGGGCAGACATGGATCTATCGTGCCACTCTTCGTGTTCTTCTTCTGGCGACGAAAGCTCAAGCAACTTCTGTGGCGACCCAGCGGATAGCCCAAGCATGGTGAGCTTGTCTTGCAATATGCTGATAACAGCAGGGTTGCCACCACGAAAGGAAGCGAGCACTTGCGCTAGTGAGTGGATCAGATCCCTAGGACCAACGTTGAAATGAGACTCGTGGTTAAGCGAGGGCATGATCATCATAACGTCAGCAAGCGAGTTGGCGACGTCGAAGAGCTTGGACTCCTACAATTATGTCAGTGATGTCCTGTGCCACCCAGGGAGATGTTGCGTACCATGCCTGGACCATGCGCCTCGACGCTTTCCCGCGAGAGGCTACTTAGATTACTGAGAACGTTTTGGGCGACCTTAGCGGGGAAACGGAACGAGAATTCCTCATCCTGACTGGCGCGACTGCTCAAGTTCGTTACATTGAGAGCATGCTGCCACAAGAAGATACGCATCCACTGCTGAGTCATTGTGATATCTGCGCGCTGGAGCTCATTCTCAAGACTGCGAGGGTCTTCGTCACTGCTAAGTTGTTGCTGAGCTAATGCAAGAGCGTGGCGCGCAGCTGCAGGTTCAGCTGTTATGGTGACATCTAGGATATTGAACAGCCGACAAAGTTGGACGAACGCAGGTGTAACTGATCCATCATGTAAGTCTTCTAGCCTGGGAAGATTGGGAGCTCGCTTCAATGTCGTTGGCACATCGTGCTGCAAGGAGTGCGCTCGCTCTGTGATGAAGAGAAGCCAGTAGACCCTCAAAGCATACTGTATTTGCTCGGCGGTCATGAGCTCGTAGTGTGTCGGTTTATGTAAGCCTATGATGTGTGCCTTGAAAATGGCCTCGCCGAGGAGGACCGTGGAAGCGTTCATTCGCCCAACGTTTGCTGAATAAACGTGTAGGAAGAAGCTACTTAGCAAGGAGAATATAGTCACATTCTCCAAGTGATCGGACTCGTTCCTTGCTTTCTTTGCTTCCGATTCGAACGTGCCGCTTGGAACGCGATAGTGGCCCTCGAGTGGACTGCCTGGCTCGGCATCTATAGAGAATTGGCTGACTATGGCAGCACATATCGCAGTGGCTAGTGCGTAGGCTTCCAAATCGTCGGGATGAGTCAAAAGCCGTGCAGTGAGTGCTTCGGCATCGACGACTGGCCATATGCCATATCCACGTGCTTGGTAGATGTCCAGGTAATGCGATAGACAGGCAGTCGATATTCTGTGGGGCTCTTGGGGGATGGCGGACAGTGTTGGGCTTAAAATATCCGGCCAGGCTTTGGGGTCAACATCGGAATCGCTCATCAAGGGTATCGGGTCCAAATAAGGCAAATCGGTAGTCCTCGGGCTTCCAGCATCAAAGCTCGTCTCGCTGTTGCTTCTTGACCCATCGTCATGGGTCCCCTTGCTGCGTTCTTGCAGTCTCCTAATGGCGGCTTCTGTAGTCCGACGTGGTCCTTTTGGTCCGCTTTTCCCATGCGTCTTCAAGTAGGTGCAGTCCCAGCTAGCAGCTTCGCATCTGGAACATGGCTGGTTGCCATCACATCGCACTTTTCCTAGAAGAGAGGCAATGTCAGTTGTGTCACGATAGTTGACCTGCATCCAACACTTACTGACAGAACAAGGGTCACACGCTCGTCGCGTTCCTTTCCGTGGGGCCATGGCCATTCTGGGGCCAAGGTACTAGCCTCTTTGGATAGACGGTATTTACGAGACGCGGGATATCGTCATCTCGTCATGACACGGATGGGTCGGGTTTCACGCACCAGCAGAATGGTGGCGTTTGTGGAGAGTTTATCGGAAGTAGACGACAATCAAACGAAGTACAGAAATATAAAGTCCATACAGAATGATGTCGTGGGAATGGATGCGGCTGATGCTGGGAACAAAAGGTGGAGATGCGGCTGCAGGTCGGTTGATCCTGCCTACTGGAGGTGCCGGCGCCGACCAATCATGGCTGAGTGCCGCCGTTGACCGCCGGCGGTCCCTGACGCCAGCTAGTCTGCCCGAAAAACTTCACGGCGCTAGAAGCTCCGTGGAAGAAAGCTGCTTCTATGGAAAGACCGGCTGTGCTCGGTATAGATAAGCGAACAGTTATATGATTCGATTACTGACATTCTAGAAGCTTACCGGGCGTGTCGTAGCGAACTTCCTTTCGGGCATGGTGTTGCACACGGGCCCTGGTGTAGTGAAAATTTGTGTTGAGAGTGCAGTGCAATGCGCTGTTCGAGCAAATCGACCAGGAATATCTTTAATAGCGCATCCATGTTTGGCAACGGTGACGCTGGCCACCCTGTTGTAACCCACAGCCTTACGGCTACGTCCGGTGTTGTCAGGAGAGCTACGTGAGGCTGACTTCCTGGCCAAATGCGCGTACGTGACGTACTGCGCGATTTTTAGCGTGTCCGACAGCGGGCGCACCAAACCTCGGATCAGTGCACCGATGTTTGAACTATTTTGGTGCGACTGCCGTCGTCTACAAGACAGCGGCACATTCCTTTAGTAGCTCTTCCAACTTTTGGTCGCTGCAATCGCACTCAGCGCGGCGGAACCGCTGGTCAACTAGGGCCCCCAAGCCCCTCGAGGAACACGTCGAGCTGAGACAGATGATTGAGCTGCGCCTCTGAACGAGCTGGCGTTCCAGACTCACAGACGACATGACGGCATTTGCTGGAAACCAAACCCAGGGGACGAGTACAGACATGGGCCTCACCATCTCGAGTCGCCTCCGACTTGTATCTGTCAAAGGGCTAGACCGATGGTGGCGCACTGTGTTCCTGTGATGCAACATCATCACGCCGCACATTGGAGGCAACGGCCATGTCGAATCCCAATCAGGCAGTAAAGTCAGAAACAAAAGCACCGCGCTGTTACTAGTCAATCCGGGGATCGAAGATGCAAAAAACACTAGCCAATGAATATGGAGTAGTTCATTCTGGATTGAATACTTGGCAATTTTTGTGTTACACTGTGGTTTGACACAGTAACTGGATCCCGGGAGCGAGCGTGAAGCAGGGGTCCAACGTGGCGAGAATCTGGACTTGCAGCTGTAACTATCACTGACATCCTCGGTCCCTCCGCCTCGACAGAATCGTAGTTAAGGCAAGATAATAGAGTCTAGCGCCACGAGATACAGCGACGTCATAGGTATCTAGTATCCTGGTCATAAACGACAGTACGAACTCCTTCATATGGCAGAATGTCTAGCTCGCATGTGGGGCCTTATCATACGTCCTGGGGAATACGAGAATCCGGGGAAGATATATTGATCTTCTCGCTAAGAGCTGCGATGCAATTTACGCATATGAGCGCTATCGCGAGGTTCACAGGTGGAAGCTCACATTGGCCCAGAGCATAACCTGATGATATGTCTGCTAGAGATACGCAAAACAAAATGTGACGACTAGTGGTCATGGAACTGCCTGGATTGGTCAGATCTTGGGATCTTGTATTTGGTCGTGTAGGCTCAGCTAATTTTGGTCTTTACTGCAGATGAAGTGAAGCACTATTGTGTTCTACAGCTATGTCAGCGGCGTCGCAAATACGGTTTTGTTGTATATATAAACCGTCGGGTTTCGTAACAACAAGAGCCGTCACATACCAAGTTGTCGACATACTTACCTCTACACATCTTTGCGAGGCATCACCACCAACATCTCCACGAAAAACAGTGCACCAACGGTTATCGCATTTCAGAATGAAGCTTCTCATAATCATGGCTGCGATCACGTCTCTCGCCCTTGGTGCGCCAAAAGATCCGTACCCAGCGCCTTGTGGAAGATCAGATCCATCTGGTATCTGCACGACCAAAGCGACTTGCTACAAGAAGGGCGGCTTCTATGTTCAGCGCGACTGCACTTTCTACAACGTGCTCGACATCGGTTGCTGCTACTCCATTCCCGACGAGAAGAAATGAGGACGACTCGAAGTGGTAGCGAGCAGACGAGATTGGTATCATCGTGATATTGGAACATCAGAACTAGAGCAAGGAGGCTTGCGACGTTTTCAACGAGAGAATCTCGAATCAATAGTGAAATTAGATGAGGAGACGGAATCAATCAACTACTGCTCCATCCAAGCACCTCTACCGTGATGGGGAATCATTGACTAAAGGTTTAGGCGGACTAATGGCTTTTTTCGTGAAGTCATTGTCTTGAGTGAATGCAACCAGAAAAAGAAGTGTTGAGATGTAGCATCGCGTAAACATATACTGCAGACTAACTCGCAAGATGCTATATCTGCGAACAGCATGCGGTGAGATGGGGGCAAGCAGCACTGAAGAGGTAGTACACGATTGTCGTGATGTATCGCTTATTGGAAAATGGGTGAGAGGAACGGGAAGAAGCAATCACCGAGGCACTATTATGTCATCGCCGCTCATTCGTCAATCGGCCATCATCGGAACATTGTCCCGTAATTCTCCGGCACCGCACTTTTCATTTCACGATGCACAAAATAGACGAGACTAAGGACATTTCCATCTTCTTTCATGCTCAACGAGGCGCCTTGCTTCACAAGTACAAGCCCCACTTTACTGCTAAGCGTTGGTAACACTGCGCCATTTTCAACTTCTTCCCGTTCGTGCAGCTTCTCCACAACATCGTCACCTACACAACGCCAAGATGGACCCAGATCTGGACATTGTAGGCTGCTAAGCGCTATCGGAAGCGCGGAAGGCTATATACACGCTGTAGCGTGTGAGACAAGTACGTCGCCTTGAGATGCGTTTCCCGTCGTCGTGCGGACTTGCCCGTACTCATGAGCCGGTACTCTCACTCCGGATTTGCTGGCCCACGATGACTTCAACATAAACTCTACTATCCTTGTTGTCCCCGCTCATTGTTCTTCAGAAGTAACAAGATTTCATCCGCTCCCTGGTCATTGGGCCAACACGTATCAACCGGTAGGACGACGGAAGTAGAGAACATCTAGAAACAAGACTATCACAACTCAAAGACTATGGAGACGCTGAAGCGTAAGAGGCCAGGGTGCAAGCTAATAGAGGCCCACAAGAAGACCCGGAACAATAGTCCGGCCGAGTCCAGACAAAGGTGTCCAATCATGGAGGTCTTCCACCAGTATGGCTTACTGGAAATGATCGTATCCAGCCTATATCCAGACGACTTACTGGCGCTGTTATTATGCTCAAGATCCACCCATGAAGCGATCTTACCACAACCTGGTAGCCTAGAAAATTTGCTAGGGAAGCTCAAATGCTCCGGTCGAGGTGTACATGTCCGCAACAAGCGTCACAAGAAGTCTACTTTCTTCTACGCTTATGATTGTACTGAAACCATAAAGTGTGGAGCAAAAGAGTCTACCACAGAGTGCCGGCCCTGTGCCAGATGTAAAGTCAGCACTTGCGACGAATGCCGCATTCACTGCGTCTACCAGAGCATATACGAAACACCTTGCGATGAGGATGAACTGCCCAACTTCAGCGGCTTCATTCTGCTGTCACCTCTCGAGGTGCCAATCCTCAGCCCACATCACATGGATAGTGACGAAGCTGGGTCGCAGTGGCAGGATCCTTCAAACAGTCTGCAAGCACCATATCATGATCAAGGCTTCATCGACGTTCCGTTTGAGGAAGATAGCTTTGGTCTACCTGAAAGCGTCGAAGATCTTCTAGAAATGGATCTCGGTAGCCACACGTTGGCTGCATCAGCGTCTTCGAGCGTCGCTCATCCTTCGCCGGTCCTTCGAGCTTTATACCAAACGACGGAGCAGCGGAAACGATGGTTCTGCGATGAATGCCGGCCATCCATCGCGACCCAGGGTCAAGAGATTCCTCAAGCTTCTCAATGCCAGTGCACTTTACGCAATCACTTTCTTGACCGGTGGTTGTGCCTGCGCTGCTACGAAACGGAAGAACATGATCTTGACGCATCCTTTGTTGACCAAAAAGAGCGTTGCGCATGCGGACGACAAGATGGAACTAAGACATGTTTGTGGTGCTGGGGAGAAGTGGTACATCCGATGTTCGAATTTGAAGAAGTACACAACGGAGACCGCACCGAAAATACCAATCAGCCATAGCGTGCCACTTTGGGCTCTGTTTCTTTTGCTCCGGCAGCATTCTGTACTTCGAACTGTTGACCTCTGTATCCTAATACCTGTAAAATCACCCTGTATACATCTATAATCTCAACCTTTTGGTCCTGGCCGTTTACTCAGCCCGTCCCGTTCTGCTCGTCGAGGTTGACGATATACTTCCTCTTATGAACAATGGTGCGTTGATGAAGTCCATAACGAGCTGTGTTTGCAATTCACTCGTGTCTTTTTATTATATCTGCCGCAACTCGTGGTTCTTAAAGCAGCTCAAGGTCCAATTGAACTAAGCACAATACGCTTCGTGTTGCGATCCACAGCAAGCATGTTTCGGCCAGCTACACTATCGACGCAGACAGAGCACTGTTCTCTCCTTACTCATATGCATTCCCACGTTGTTCAACTGCCTCTTCGCTACGATCGACCCAGTCCCCGCAATCAACTTCAATTTCTTCTCCTCTTCTTTGATTTCTCTCTCCTTTTTTCGCTTTACGTCTCTGTACAGTACCAATTCCTCTTGCGCCTTTTCCAGCTCTTCCACAAGGTATCGGAGGCTCGGTTCATCGCGCTCGCGTCGCACGCTGATCTCGAGGTCGACGACAGTGTTCATAAGACTGTTGATGCGGTCGCCGCAAGATTTATAGGCTGATACGAGGCTGACTTGATAGACGGTGAGAAAGGTGGGCGGAGGAGAAGGCAGATTTGAGGGTGAGAGGAAGGATGAGCGAACTGATGTTATGCTGATATCGGTATCGCTTGATACTTCGTCCATTGCTGTAGCGGTATACAGAATTGTATGTTGGTACCGAGGTCTTAGTGACGATGATGATCTGCGAGGAGCTGTAGAAATTTATTTGAGTTGCTGCTCTCGTTCTTGCGTCTCTCACGGTTCAGCGTTTGCTGTGGTCTGTGAGTCAACTGCGCGAGCTTCGAAGTGAATCAGGCTAAGTCGCCAAGGTGATGTCGAAATGACTTTGGTGAGAAGTATGATGAATCTTTTGCCTCGCCCGAAAGCGGCTTCACAGATATCTGTGATTACCTTGCAGTTTCCGTCGCTCATGTTGTCGTAGCTCTCGTGGATACTGACACCCTCCTTTCATACCTACCGTCTCCTGAACGACTTACTCCGCTACACACTACAATGGGAAGGTCTCTATAAGCAAGATGCGACTTGAAAAGTGAAGTAAGAGGCCAAGCATTGATACGACCTACTGTCGAGGAGCCCATCAACATAAGGAACCACAGCGTTGGATATACTCGAGCAGGCCATAAGCGCTCACCAGAGGGGATCATGAGGCTCGACACAATCGCGGCGCTACTGCACTTTCTGGTGGATCGATTCAATGAATGTGCTTGTGATATTTCTTTATTACTTTTGAGCTTTAAGAACGTATTGTCGTGGGATGTGTGTAGGGGCACACGTCGACGTTACGGAGAAGCCACTATGACGGCACGAGTGGGACGGGCCTTGGCGCGTTCGAAGACGCGTCTCCATGGTGGTATCAAGGCACACACCACTTCACATCCCACGCTTCGCACCGCGCGCCTCTTTTTCTCCTCAATCGACCCACTCTCGACGCAACGCTTGGCCATGGCTTCGAACGTCAACGTCATAAGAATCGACACTCCACACGGCCCGCACGCTTCTCCGCAGCCCACAACCGTCGTCTACCCTCGGCCCACCGATCTTCCCTGAACCGACCGCATCCGTCAATATCTTACCCACAAGCTCATTCCCTCTCGATGCCGATCCCGAAATCTGGCCAACGTTATTCGCGCATAGTTTGGCGTATACAATCTGAAAGATCCTCATGCGTAAGAAGTTGTGGGCTATCTTAGTAGGGCATAGATGTCCACGGAATCATCTGTCTGATGGCGACGTCAATATTGTATGTTGGCGCCTTGTCCCCTCAATCGAACTCTCGCGAGCGAACCTTACAGGAACTAGGAGTGAGTCACCACTAGTATTGTTACCGTGTTTGAGTATATCGAGTATCTACCGGAAAGATGTGTACATGGCTACACTGAACCTGAGGATGAGATCTACTCGGTGAGCATAGAGCATAGGGCAATACTCAATCTCGCCACGCAACAGTCACACATGCGCAGAGGCTAGCATGTATATGAAGAAGACGTTCATAACGTGGCTTCTAGGGCTCATTTTCGCTTCGCACTGAGCAGCGTATGGTGCCTTCAACGGTCTCATAACCTCGACATAATGAGTTGGCACATGCTGCACCAGATATATGGAGATATAAAGCGACCAATAGCTTATGCAGCATTTTTTATAGTAGTGCGCAAGTACAATAGACATGAGTAGCGATAGACAGAAGAGTGTTGCGCGCCAGTGCCGGATTGTGTGTCTGTGTTGAACACACCAAATCAAACATGTTGTAACGAGGACCCAAGCTTGCCGTAGTCAAAGGCACGTACGTATAAGCTTGAACCGCAACTTTCGTATCCAAGCCAACCCCACCAGTGTAGATTTGCTTCGCAGTCTTTACTCTACGTTGTTCTTTCCAAGTCAAAATTGAGATGCCTTGGGTAGATCCTCCGAAGGTGAAAGTAATTCGCCCGTATCGTCATCGCGGCTAACAGATCAACCCAAAAACCACATTGAGAGATTGCTGACTACCAAGAGTGTATGCAGGCGCCAAAAGAGTTCCAAGCAATAGGTCAGACCTTGTTGTTGAGGCTAAGGCTTGTGTTCACCTCACTCACGTCTCGCTTCCGATGTCGCTGGCGCATGACTAGCAAGGGTGCGATCCTGCGGCGGTACGCGGAACGAGCACGCAAGGCAACAGTGGCTCAAAATTCCGCCCGTATATATTCAAGCCCCCCTATACATTAGCGTGATTGAGGAGAGTCGTCTTCGATGCAGCGAAACATGATGTGGCGCACGATCAGCATAAGACGAAAAGTAGGCATATGAGGTAAGTGAAAGACTCGTATATTAATTAGCTTCCAGTCTGGAAGTCAAATAGGTATCATCGATCATAACAGATCCACAGGTAAAGCCACCCTCAGTAGCCACCCTCGTAAACATCAACGTATCGCATCATGCTGCGCACGATCACAACCTAAGTGCGCACATGCGCCTCGATGTTGTGTCCAGCAATACCCTCCTCAACACTGTGTCTTCGGTCCTTGCCAATGTAGTTCGAGTCCGGAAGCATGTTGAGGATGTCCTCCTGCTTATCCGTCTTGCGCTGGTGGAACCAGAAGAGGATACCACCGATGAATGCCAAGATGGCAACAGTCGTGTAGTTCCAAACCAACAACGGGTCTTCGGATAGCGACACGAACGCCTGGCCAAGCGCGTTGGAGAAGGCAGACATGAAATGCCAGTAAGAGGTGACCAGCGAACGCATGTTCTTGGGGGCTTTTGTAAAGGCAAACTCGAGTCCAGTAATAGATGTGAAGATCTCGGAGAATCCGACGAGAACGTACGGAACGGCTTGGGTCCAGACGTTAAGTGGGGCTGGGTCGTCGCAGCTGTTCATGTACTTTCCGCAGGGGCCCTCGGCATAGATGTAGTGCTGGATAACGGCAGCGGAGACCATGGCGAAAGACGCAAGGATGAAACCGAAAGCGATACGCTTGATAGGAGTGAAGCGAATGTTTGCCTTGCGGAGAGCGGGGTAGAGGAAGTTGTCTACGATAGGGATGAAGATGACGAGAGAGATGGGGTTAAGGTTGGTGATGACATCGTTGGGGACACCGTTACGTGTCATTGTGGCGGCTTGCGAGGTAAGGTTGTTGTTCATCTGGTTGTATGACAGCCAGTAGAGCGGGATCCAGGTAAAGCAAGAGCACGCACGCAGACCACGAGCAACCTGGTCAACCCAAGCGTCGTCGAACTGCATCCAACCAGGCTTGTTCGCACCGAGATGGCTGGGCTTGACGTCCTCCCAGAAACGCTCGCTCTTGAAGTTCTTGCGCGTGGTAACGGGGTTGATAGACCACTTGCCCTTGGTGGCAAGCTTCAGGACCTTGATGGCGCGGATGAGGACGGAACCAGTGGGGGGAGTGCGGTGGTACTTATTCCTGCAGGTCCAAAGAACCACGGGGCAGAAGCAGAACATGATGGTGGGTAGCAGCCACGCGCACCAGAAACCAACGTACTTCTCGACGTACACCATGGACAGTTGTCCAGTGAGGGAACCAATGTTGATGAACATGTAGAAGTCTGAGGTATGTTAGTGGGCTGGTCCTTGTGTGCCAGCGGGTGATGACTTACACAAGAAGATACGGGAGAGTGTGATGTTGGGGTCAGAGATGACACGCTCGCCAGTCTTGGGATCCTTGATGACACGCGGCTTGGTCTGGCGGTATTGTTCAGCAATTAGTGGGGAGATGTTGGCCTTGAATGCTCCAGTTCCGAAACCAAGGGTGATGACACCCAGGATGAAAGGTCCAATTGCATTGCCGCTAGTGAGCACAGGGGGAATGGCGGAGATGATGAGCAAGATATGGCCCAAGATAGAGAAGGCAATGGCGATGAAGATGGTGTTGAAACGACCGAGGTATTCGTCGGCGATGATGGCACCAATAATGGGAGTGGTGTACGCCCAGAAAGAGTTGAACTGTCCGATACCGAAGGAAGCACGCTGACCCATGCCAAGCGCACCTGGTTGACCCTCTTCACGTGGATCGCGACCAGTGGATTGTACGACGCCATCGATCACAGGAAGGTCCTGTTGAATGAAGTTGGTGTCTTGGAAAGAAGTCAGCGCTTTGGTTAGAGTATGTTCATGGGCAATGACGTACACAACACCTGGCAACCGTAGTATCCGAAACGCTCGCAAAGCTCGACGAACGCAATGGTGAAGGCAGTCCACGGAATCTTTCCGGATACACGACGGAGTGTCTTCAAGTCTTCCTCCGTGGGTTCCTCGCCTTCCAAGTCTGCATCAAAGACATCGGGGTCATGGGGCTGATGGCTGAGAGTCGATGGCGTGCGTTCATCCGAGAGGGCACGCTTCTCA